TAGATACATCCCTCCGTGCAGTAAATGGCGGATTGTGCAATTGCAATATTAAATTCTGTATGGAACACGTGGCGGTCTTTTTACCGCACTCGTTCCGTACTGAATATTTTAAAAAATATTCTTTGGGTAACGGCGTTTTATTGTGTATTGCATGATTTGGAAGGAGTCAATTGAATATTAAAGTGGATTTATATTTTAGGGTAGTGGGAGCGGTTGTTGTTGGGGCTGCGGTGTGCGGTCGGATACCGGGATTGGGGAAGAGTCAGCGTGAACAGTGCAGAAAGGCGCCTCACGCGATGCCAGCAGTTGGAGAAGGTGCTGAACTAGGTCTTCGTGAGTGCCGACACCAATTCAGGCATCACCGATGGAACTGTTCGCACGTTGCCAATGACCGGGTTTTTGGGCACGTTGTTGTTGTAGGTGAGTCACACCCTCAATATTTTATCATCTTTCATTTTACAATTAATTATTATTTTTCTCTAGTTCAAATTAAATTTATCTCATTTATTTTTTATTCGTATACGTAGAATTTACGTTCGTTGATAAACGAGAAAAAAATTAATTAAACATATTTATGTTTAATTCATGTATATAAATAATAATTATTTCAATATATTATGTATTATATTATATATTTTATACTCGACTCAAGTATTCATTTTTTTCTGTGTATTCCTCATGTGCACATCTGATTGGAATATTAGTTAATCATGTATTTATTATATTTTTAATTTGTTTAAAGTCCGTCGTACTTGACAATTGAGTTATTGTTCAAATTTATTCAAATTGAGTTTCAATAAATAAATAAAAGAATATAGGAAAATAAAAGAATATCTACACATGAATTTCCGTGAAAATATTAATATGGCTTCTCAAATTCCTTTCAATTCGACATATCAGCTGGAGTGGAAAAATCAATTCAACTTTAGATTAAAAGGACGCAGTCTCTCCATTTGAAATGAATTTTGACGTGTCTGGGAAACAGGTTGGGATGGAAATCCATCACGTGAAAAGCGTGACCGTGGAATGTGAAACGTTTTTTCTTGTAAAAGAGGCGAATAGTGTGCTGTCGTAGGTTTTCTATATCGAATCCATATTTATAATCAACGGGATATTTAGAAGAGAACTGGTTTAAAAACCACTGGCGGTCAATAGTTTACGTATTTCTCAGGGAAGGACAGAATAGTTAACGATTCCGGGAAAACTTGTATAATTATTTCCATTGGGATGATAATATAATATAGAAAATATAATATTCATTTCTGCGCTCTTTTAGAAATTTTACTTCAATTATCATTATTATTATTTATTATTTTAATCACTGATTACCGCAATTAATTATAATTTGACATTTTTACCTGAATTGTATAAAATTGCGGTAAATAATTATTGTAAAATCAATTGTTATTATCCAGTAAAGATTTCTGAAAAGGAAATTAATAAGGATTTTTATAAAATTTTTATTTCGGCGTTTTTTTTTAAATTTATTTTGATTATTGTATTGAATTGAAAAAAAAATCTGGGTATCACAGCTGAATAAACCAGCGACCGAAAACATTACGTGGGTTTTTTAATGGACAATTCAAATTTCTTCCGAGCATTAAATCCCGTGAGTTCTCCATTTGTCTGTGATAATTTTCGATTGGCGAACATTTACGCGCAGTTTGAGTGACTTTTTCCCTCGATTATGATTCTTTAATTACCTACCTGGGAGTTATAGTACGAAGGAATGTTCATTTTAAAATTGAGTCCTCGTTGCAAAAAGAGGATTTTTTTATTTCTTATTTTCTATGGAGATTCAAGTACTAATGCGGAGAGATAGGATCAGGATGGAACCCGGTATGTGGTTGTAGCTTCTACAGTGGTAGCAAAACATAGACACTTCAACGCCCACGTGGTGGAATTAAATGACCCAGGAACAACGGTGTTGATGGCTTTCGAATCGATATGAGAGATTCCACCGAAAACAAAAACTCCAAAACCACTCGTCGCTATTCTCTCACACGAATTGCACAGAAAAGACAAATTTCATTCCAACTGCATCTAGATTAAGTCCAGAAAAGAAGACTATAATTGTTTTTCAATTTAATTTTCAATTTAAATTGATTAAATTAATTAAAATTAGAATTTTACTTCATTGAATTGATGATTACCTATCAGGATAACACGACTCAAAATATTTGAACAAAACACCCATTATTTATTATAAGGAAAAATACATAATAAATTACGATATTTGGTATATAATTGTTAATTACCCCCGAAAATTTAGTTGTTATAACTGTCCTTCAATGTACCAAGAATTTTTAGGAGAAATACTAGGGTGATATCTAATGGAATATGGGGGACGGAGAAAATAACTTTGAACACAGTGGATTTAATACGTTAATTTAAATTTATTGAAAATGGCACGAGGAAGAAATGTCTGTTCAATACGACCTGCCACAGCAGACTAAAAGTGGTCAACGAGACCAAAAGAAAAATCGTCATAATATGAGGAAGGATCCCCAGTCCCTTTGCCACATGACCTCATGGCTTATGTTTATGTCTAATTCCAACATCTCTCTCTATGTTGATACATTTTTGAAACCATAGACTCATAGAAATCAATTCGTAGAAGACTGAGGCTATATTCCAACAATATCGAATTGGGAGTGATCCTTTAAGATTTAAATATAAAAATATATAAATTCCTCAACGTACACAGAAGTAATCCCCAGGGAGCTCAAGCAAATCACCACAATCGACTTCTCTTGGGGATATTCCTTAAAAAATAATGGAGCCCCACAAAATTTTTGCGTGCATAAAGAAGAAAAATTAAACCGGATGAACATACCTGTACCATACCTGATAAATACGTCGAAATTTATACATAGAGGGAGGCAACGAGGAATGTTTTCAATTAGTCTAATTAACGGTACCACTCGACATGCTTCAACTAAAAGCCCCTTCGCCATCGGATCGAGTTTGCTCTCTTTAATGTCTGATGGTTAAATCATTTAGCATATTAGCGACTAAATCCCGATTGAAAAATTATAAAATTATGGAGTGAACGTAATGATTTATTGGTTCAGCATTTATTGGTTCAGATGAGTCGTACTGAGATGATTCAATTCGTTCATTTATCTGGGAAAAAAAAAACATTTCCAGTCGTTGAATAGCGATAAAGTGAAATTATACATGGAATTCGTGAGCCTTTGGGTACCTGCTAATTTATTCTCCAACGAAAATGAAGATATTTGTAGAATTTCTCTGGCGATACTTCACAACCAAGGTATCTCATTATCTCCATTGAATTAAACCAAGTAATTTTGGAACCTCAGGTATTTCGGGTCCTCGATAAGTTCTCCCTGAGGATAACGTCATCGACACCAGCATTAATGGTCTCACCTTATCATTTCACGGAGTATCGAATTTTTTCCACACTCACTTTTATTTTCTTTTGCCACTTTTAAAATCCTCCATTTTCTTTTTCTCTTCATTCATTCTTGGCTTATCCATCTAGAATAACTGGATTGGCCCACACTCGGCATACCATTTCGAAATCTCTCGTCGTCTTTCTTTTTTTGGTTAATCGATACTCAATATGTGACGTACGTCGAAAAATTCATCAGAAAAATTTTAATCAAAGCCTTTCCATAAATAAACAACGAAATATTATTTACGATCAGCAGAAATTCGTCAATAAAAAGTAAAGTCAATTTTTCGAGAATCGCTCAATATTCAGAATGTCATGAGAAATTTATTTTATACACAAAAGTGAAAATTCCCTAAGAATTCCGATAACTTCAATTATTTATTCATAATAAGAATATAATTGTTAAAAGGTCATTTAAGAAATTTTCCAAACGCTATTTAACCGACACGTGATAATTAAAAATCTTAAAATCTATCGTAAAAGGTTCTTGGGTGTCCATTATAACTTCCTCGACGTCCAATAAAAATACGCAGGCGAACCTGTTATAACGCATTAAATAAAACATCATCTTCATCCAATTATTTTTCCACGTTAAAAGGGAAAGGTGAAAAAAGTAATGAAATTCCACCATAAGGATTTTCTCTAGTCATTCCCACAAAATGATTAATAATCAAATAATGTCCTAATACCTGGAGACCTGAATGACCCTGTCGTACTCAATTCATTACACGAAATGTTCATACGATCGAATGTAATAGAAAGACTCATTGGCCAAGACTAATCAACAATTTTTCCATCAGCGTGTCTCTATCACACTGTACCATCCGCTCAACTCGTCGTATGAATATTCAAACTGGAATATATGAATATTTTTAATCGCTATCCGAATGTCGTTTAACTACCGTTTTCATATCTTACACTTGTGCGCGATAGCAACATCGTTGAGAGAATCATGTGACATTCATTTTGGCTCCACGTGTGGATTGCGTGTACGGGTATGGGAATTGTATCGGTTTTCGTTTCTTCCTCCAATCTGTCTCTGTCGGCTTTATCGAACTGCTAATTCGTTCGGCTTGCCCTCCGAGTATCCAATCGGCTCTTGTCGTTTTACATATGCCTAAGTATATAAGAGACATCGTAAAAGGGTAGAGATCGTGAAATAGCTAACGCTATATTTGTAGAGGATGCATTCAATGCCCCGAGGAATACGTCCCGCGGCGAAGCTTTCGTATCATTCCGCCGAGATTTATGTGCCTCAAATTTTTTACTCCTTTTTTATACTCCGTAAATGGCTAATATCATAATTTATACAGGAATTGTGAAATCCATTGAAAACCATTAGAACTTTGAAGAATAAACATTTTTATTCAGAAGATTTTATCTGTTTTGAAGTGAAGATCACGCGATTTTACTCTCGGCAGCGGTCGGAACGAGTTCGGCTCGCTTCGCGGTCATCGGTAAAGCGCGGGACTCCACTTCAAATTTAAACTCAATACTGAGTCCTTAAAACGGATACTTCTTTAAAAATTCAGTGTTATAAATATCACGTCAAATAGACATTGGATAATATTTTTTAAAAAACAAAAAATTTGACTTTATATAGAGAATCGATAAGTTCAGGAATTAAAATATTCACGTCAATATTTTTAATTGCGCACTCGATGATTCTAAAACAATATTAAAACCACATTAAAACATACTAAAATCGGTCATCACTGTAACACAAGATTTGGCAATTAATAACCATTCAAATAAAAATACAACCGTAACGCTGATTCTTAATCTTTCATAGATAAAAAAATTAGATAGCATTCCACTTTCGATTTATGCCCAAAGCGATCGTTGATTTTTTTCCGTTGAAAATCAAGATCGCCATTCATTATCCACCACCTATTATATATCGTCCCTTCATCCTCGTTAACTAGAAACAAATGACACCTGGAGGCGCCGTCGTCGTCGGATCTACGGCGCATGCGCACTCCACCGTCTAGCTTCCGGCCATAACCGATTTCCATCCGCACACGCGGTAGATCGATATCCCATGGGAATTCAACACAGAATTAACCATTACACCTGATCAACGGATTGAGTTATAGTCCGGTGTTTGTCGTATCCAGTAGTAGCTACCTCGGGGCGATACACTCCTTTTATCCTCGTACTCAAAACATTCTCGTGCGTTCGTAAAAACTTAAAAACTTATAAAACATACAACTTAATAAATTAATATATCACGTGAATAATTTCTCTTCTTTTCTCATCGATTAAAGCTACTAACAAGACTCAACTGACGACATCCTTATTAAGACGTTGGATACACGCAGTGAATATTCCAGAAAAATTACGGGTAATCTGTGTGGACGCGATCGTTAAGTCATTTTCCATATGCCAGGGAAAAATAGTAACGGAATTATCTGTGTATCTGATCTGAGTAACTCCTCAAGTTTCAATTTTACTGTTCAGGTATTATTATCCCCATAATTAAAATAATTAGAATCATTGTTCTGTTCTCTCCGTGACATTAACGAGGAACAATCATTTACAGAAAAATTAGAGGTTATCACCTATTATAACTAATTACTCTTTATAAATGTGAAATAATTAATGTATTATTATTTTTTTGAAAATCACGAGATAAATAAAGAGAGAGAATAGAGTAAATGGATAAATTAATGAATGAAAAATAAAAAAATTTTTAAAAGATGTAAAATATAAATAATCATTTGTAACACTCGAATAATTTATTGAGTTCATATATATCTGAGGTACTTTTGCAAGATGTAAAGGAGCCGTAGATCTCACGATTCACTAGACATTTCACAGCGGTGATGCTGTATATCCCAGCGAGACTCCGGGCCCGCCAACCCCCTGCCGACGATCCCGCCAGTACTTCTTGCTCAGATCTCACTCAGGCGTCGGTAGAACACGTGTTTAAAATGTGGTATTGTCAGGATATTGATTATCGTGCTGGGTTCGTTAACGCCAGTGGTTGTTAACACGCTTGTCCTCCCTCCAAAGAGTAACGAAATAATTTCTCAATGAAGTGGATAATTTACACATGCACATATCACCTCGGCGTAATTGAAATTGCGCATGGCAATGATTTTTCAGAGAATTCTATTGTGGAATGCTCGTGGCGGTGGTTCGGAGAAAGGGGGAATTTTTAGATCATTAGGGGTTTCGACGAGCTGAGGGGTCGGGAAATCAAGATTGAGGGGAAGTGAATGAGAAATGCTAAGTAGATTCACATGCTAATACCCACAAACCGGACTTTGAGGTACACCAGGTGGGATTCAATCCGGTGTTCGGGGTGTCTTAATTGTTGTAATTGGTTAATTGTGAGATTGTCTCATCACGATGTGTGATTTGATCCACGGAAAAGGTCCAGAGTGTCTCGTCAGGCTTACACTCTTCAGGTCTTTTAAAGGGAATGTAAACGACGTCATCAATTCGGACATTTAATTACTGAGATTTGTCTAGCGTTTTAAAGTACACTGATAGAAATTTATTGAAATGTCAGGCACAAAGAAATTCATCAGATTTTTTAATTCTGTGAATTTGGATTGAACACAATATTTTCCTCGTGTTAAATTATCATGCCTGAATGATAATCAGAATTCAGGGAAAGAAGGACTTGAATTTTCCCTAGTTTCTAAAATTTATTGTTTATTTATTATCCGATGCCTTGGAAAATTAGAATTGTATGATTTTTCTGTTTGAAATGAAAGGAAATTTGAGATTGGTAAAGTTTGAAGGATAATTTTCTGACGGTATAATAAGAATTTGGAAGCATTCATTATGACAATAACAAATCATTAACATTGCTATTGATGTCAACGGAGAATGTGTGTCCATCATTTGAAGACGGGTATCGTTTTCACGCCATTTGAAGAAGTACTCCTGAATGACCACCTAATACACCCACACACATCACCACAATTCTCAGTGCCCCGGGGTTATATGCATGAAAGTGTTCTTATGACAGATAAAAGCCATGCGAAAAAAAAAATGGTGGCCATTAGTCATGGGGAGGGACAAAGATGTGGTTCCTCATTAGAAGAATCGATTTTTAAAAATGAAACATTAAACAAAAAATATATTATCCCTCATTCATTCTGTTTCCAACAATTTACAAACAATTCTTATTGGTAATTATTAATAATATTTCCTATTTCAGATGAATAAGTACTATTTGTTTAAATTATTTAAATCATTTCAGAGGATTATTTTCAAATGCTGGATTGATTAAATTTATTAAATGATTAATACAATATTTTTTTTAATAATTATTTGTGTGATAAACAATTTATTCATCAATATTTCCCATTTTTTGGTTTAATTGTGAATTATTATTGTTTTACCTGATGATGAGAGATTGATCGTCTAGAAATTTGACCCTGGGAGCCCTGATATTAAAAAGATACATGGATAAAAACCAATGTACATAGGGTTTATGTCAAGGCCACATATTTCAACCTGCGGGTGATGATTGGTCCATGGGGTTTGCACAATATGTTAAATCTCTCGGTACTTCTGGTAATTCCCACCTGCGGAGTACATCAGAAAATATGAAATATATTTCTTCGGCTACTACCCTGCGTTGTAACTTGATTTACAATTGCCGAGAACTGGTAATTAATAACGAGTCATAGTCATCCGTTCTTAGTCTCGTTAAGCCCTTGGAGTTATGACTGATGAGTCTTGTTTCTCATGACCATTGCCACTCTCTTCAGTGACCAGTCTGGACTATTTCTTCCTCTCGAAACTCTTTTTTTATATTTTTTTTTTCAATTCTCCTTTTTTTTCGCGATTAGCTTCTCGATTTATGGAGGAATTATTGTAATGATCTGAGAATAACGCGAAGAATTCTCGTATAATTTTCATGTTCCCTGACCCATCGAGCATTAGCTGCATCATCCTGTTAATGACATCATGCATTCCACATTTTTTTTTCAATCATCGCTACTGAATTGAGTTAAAAATTCAAACAGCCTGTCATTTATTGTAAATATGAGCAAAAATTACAATTTTGTTACACAATTTTTACAGACCATTAATTTGTATTCGTAATTTTTATTCGGAATTTTTTTTTTAATTCTTACCTAAAGATCGGAACAAAACTCGATTGAATTCGCAAATCGCAAATTGGCAAAGCCGATAAAATGGATTTTCAATTCAATTCCATAATTTCCATAATTTCCATAATTTTTTTGTAATGCCGATTTTTTACTGATAAAATCGAAAGATATCTTAAAAAGTGAAATTAATTTTCCCCCGATTAGTTCACCCTCGATTATTACCGTTTGTTGCTCACACCTTTCATTATAAGAAAAGATTAAAAAAATGGAAAAAGAAATTGAATTTATCGAGGGCATTCCAACCGGTCGATTGCAATTTCACCTTCAAGGTTTTCGCCATATTTTCTGGTCCCTCATTTTCTTTCTTTTCATTCCAGCCGACCCAAATTGGTGGCAACTTAATTAAATTAAATATCATCTTGATTGGTCCGCCTCACGTTCATTATCCAAAATGCTAAATATCGCTATCAATTAAGCGAAACTAATTACCAGCTAATTTGATGGTCCAATTCGAGACGAGTCTCACTTCAAATTGCGCATGTCTCGATAATTCCATCTCCCCGAGTAAATCCAAGACTTTAAATTTATCCCAAAGAATTCCCCAATAACGCGCGCAAAATGTCACAAAACGTCAGATAAATTAGCGTTTAAAATTTTTTCGACTTTTCTGTTTAATTTCCAGAAATTCGAGGATAATTCTAGGTCAAGCAAGTACCTGTTAGTTGAATGTGGCATTAACCGGTGAATTCCGCTTCTACTCGTTCTCATCGCGTTTGCATATGGCGCCAGGGATAGAATTTATGGTACAGTATTCACACTCAGACATGCATCCACCTCCAGGCAGTGGATCCTGTCCAGCTGGTGTCATTACTGCAAAAAATTAAATCCAAAAAAAGAAAGAAACATCATCTAAAAATAATTCTTCATTACTGTCAACGATCCTGAAGTGTCTTCCCAGCGGTGTAATTTTTTCTAAATTCCCGTAACGTCAGTCAAAAGGAAAAGAAACTCAGGATGAGTACTGGATTTCCACAGGGGTCTGCATTGGTATTTCGTAAGCTGAGAGACGATACAAGTATTCACTCGTTACCATTAACAACATCTCGAATGCATGCGCATCTATAAAATAAATAAATGTTGACGGGTTTTTTAAGGCGACGGGGTCAATAGTGATGGACAATGTTGTGGGCAGTATGCACCATCCCCGTAACATTTATCGAAAAGAAAGATCATAAATTCCACTGGGAAAAAAGTCATTACAGCCATCAAAATAAATAAACTCATTATAATTGCGGGAGAGGTGCAAAGAAGATAACATCATGTCGCTCATCTTGAAATAAATTGTGCCCTTGAGGCCTCAGCGTTCACCAATTAGCACGACGTCTTGATCAACGACTCGTAGTTTACACAGTATAATACATTACAAACTTATTATCCCTACATTCGTCCCGAGAACGATTCCATATTATTTTCACAAACAGCGATAAAAGTCCCTTGTCTTCCTCGCGTATACCATGACAATGTAAACATATCTTTGACAATGCCGATCCACTGTATCGTTTACCTTTTATTTATCCGTATGCTTCGAAATTTACAGCTCGTATGAATTTATAGAAAGCGATGTGGCTATAAACCTCAGGTAAATCCCTCCAGTGGACTTTACGCGTGTTATATTCAACGCTAACTCAACGAAACGATAAATTTTATCCACCGGAGAGGGTATAGTGAGTCTTTGTAGACACTAAATAGATGTGTACCTCGTTGACCATTGACATAAACGATTGAGATATAAATTCTTCACGAGCTTTCCGCTATTTCTTGGAGGACCCAGCTAGAGGGGGCCTATTGAAAATCAGTAGCGAATTGGTGCACCGGAATGAGGGCTTATTTCTTTGGACTTTGGTGAGGATCTCCGAAATTTAAAGAGATAAATGTTTTTTTATCGGTTTTTTTGGAGTTCTCAATTAGCTCTAGAGAAAAGGTGCTGACAAAAATTGCGGTATTTTTCTTAGATTTCGGAATTTTTTTGAAACGGCGCGACTCGCCTCTTACCGCTCTAAATAGCATAATAATATTTGTGTTGTGAAAATTTTTCAACTTGTAATATCAAATGTAATTCTCCAATAGTCTGATATATCCCTTCTCTATATATGCAATTAGATGGAAAATCTCAAGTCATTACGTGAACCCCCCGAAAAATGATAATATCCATGACTGACACAATGCAATACGATTAACACTGCGCGCGCAACGAGGTGGTACGCGCATGCGCCACCGCTGCGTAGAACAGACATTTAGTTCATAAAGTTTTTATAACGAAATGCACGATTCATCAGAAATGGTAAGAAGACCTGCACTGTATAAATGCGTGTAGTACTGAATGTCGCGTGCTACATAAATTGGCTGGATTGCGACACACTGAATATATGCACAGGGACGAGAGAAATACTGAGATAGGTATCTATGGGCGGCTTATAAATCAGCCAACCGATCGTCCAGATATTGATCTTTTCCTTCAATATATATTCCCCTGTACTCCGTATGCATACGTTTTATTGTATGCAACCACAACTACGGATTATCTGACTCATGTTCCTTCATGATCTCACCCACAATAATTTTCTGCACTTAAAGCGTTTATTTTCAAAGTGTAATGTATAGTGGAGTATTTTTCAAAAGAATTGTTTCGCCAGTTTTTTCACCGTCCATCTGGTTAATTCAGGTCTTTGAATTATGCAAGCTGACAGGTTGTTGACGGAGGCGTGGGACTGAAAAAAAAAGTGTGTGGAATAAAAGAATTATGAATGGTATAGGGGAATGAAGGTATATATTTTTCAAAATAAACAAATATGAATGAAATGCTGGGGAGAATAAGGAGAACAGTAACTCATATGTCGTACCGCAAATGAGTTGAAAGCTCTCAACGGGTAATTAATTGGAGTCGCACGCATATCCATATTCACTGCAGATTATATGGAACCGCAGATTTAATTTAATGCGAAAGATATAAAGTGGGCATGTATGAAGTTGTGGACTCTTATGATAGAGAAGACATTCAAAAAAACATTTTTGACATTTTGTCAAAAAATTACTTCAAATATGAATAATGAAAAATGCCGCAATGCCGGGATCTTCAACTTCCATTGAAGATTGATTAGTAAAAATTCGTGGATTTCTACAAAATAGAAACTAACATTTTTTTTTTTAATTGCAGGTAGCAGGGAAGCAGCTTTTACATACGCGATAAGCTCTGCGGGGGTAACATACGCAATAACCGCAGCTTGTAGCCGAGGGAATATCACAGCATGCGGTTGCGAACCTGCCGTAAGGTAAACCCAACACCCTCTCTCTCACCATTCCCACATTGTAATCCTTCAATTTCATGTAAACATTCGCGTTTTGAATTTCTTCAATTTTCCTTTCTCACTCTTTCGAAATCACAACCGCAAGTGCAATTTTATTTTTTTTATTATTTTCAGAACGAGAAAATCATTACCACCGAATGGATGGGAATGGGGTGGATGCAGCGCCGATGTAACATATGGAATGAAGTAAATAAACTTTTGTTTATCATTTATTTATTAACGCTGAATTTATAGAAAGATTATTGGAGTCACCACCGAAAAATCAGACGTTTAGAAAAATTTCAATTGTGCTTGATTCATAAAGTTAAAGCCGAAGTTTTTCGAATGTTGAATGAACTTTTAAAATTGCACATAATTAACTCGCGAGATTAATAAATCATCGTTATTTATTGAATGTTTTTAACATTAGGTTCGCGCGTAGGTTTCTGGATGCCCGGGAAGTGGAAGGCGATGCCCGAAGTCTCATGAATCTCCACAACAACAAAGCCGGAAGAAAGGTGAGTCAACCGAATATTTTCAATCATTAATAAATAATGAAATAATTGCACAACGAAAAATCCTTTCATATTCATCCACCGAAAACCCCACGGATCCACCAAAAATGACAAATTGAATCTCAACCACAATTTACCTTGAATTATAGAAAGTCCAGTGACAGTTTGATTCGTAAAGATTAGATAAGCTATCGAATCGCTGAAAGGACTCGCTATCGAGATTTATCTCACATCCGGTTTTGCCCATACATTTGCCCAATTAGCGATCGCAAGGTATCAATGACAATTTTCTATGATCTATTCAACGATTTCTCTGGGATTAGAATGTTCAGATGGTATTCAACACATGCGTAATAACAGGTGTAATATCACTCTGGAATATATCTCTGAAATCCATTCATCGAGTATCAATAGTCGACATCGCAAACTGCCTGTGTATTAGATGTGTATTAGTCAGGTATTAGTCATGTAACTGGCCTGAGGCAATAGATCGGAACGATAGTATTTCCGTTTTCAGTCTCATTAAACCTAAACAAATCAAATTTTATTTTCCGACGATTTATTAACGCAAATTCAGATTTAAATCTCAACTTCACTAGAGATGGTGATGAACCATAATTTATGGATTTTGGGATTTGGAATTTATATTGTTAGCTTACAAAAAAATCCTATCCACAATTTCCACCTCGCGATTCCGCAAAAAAAAATCAAATTTATTGTTTGATTTCGTTTTCTCAATTAGTGTTGTAGTGGATTATCCGATTTGTTTCAGATTGTGAAATCATTACTTCAGACAGAATGCAAGTGCCATGGTGTATCTGGTTCGTGTACTGTGAGGACATGTTGGAGAACATTACCTAGCTTTCGACAGATTGGTGATGCCCTGATGAAAAAGTATTATCGTGCGAGGCCAGTGATTGCCGTAACACCTCCAGCTGCTCCAACGCTACAGGTGAACAGTCGAATAAAGAGAAAAAAAGATAACATTCTATTTAAAAATATAATAAATATTATAATTTAATTAATCGTTCAACGAATGAATATTACTCAGGAAGTTTTATTTTTGTATACATCTGAAATATTATTTTTCATACTACTGAAATTTTTCTTTATGAGAAAATGTGAGGAGAGAGTAAGTCATTAATTTAGATTTATCTCCATTTTGCCAGTTTTTTGTACGACACTGTTCTCATCTGGATAACCTCGTGGGCGTCGCATTTAATTTTAAATATGTAAATAAGCTAGTGCACAATTCCGAATATACTGTCTTCTGACATTTGAGTACTCCATGCAAAAAAGGATTTCGCTTACTCGAGAATAACTCATACCGATAAATTCATAGCACGTAGTTATAAATGCAGTTAAACCGTTATTTATTCATCATGAGGATCGAAAGAAATGACTAGCTCATGTACACCAACGCGATTTATTTTCTCCATGCACTTTAATTTTTTTTGTGTTCATAGAAATGGAGATGACAATGAGAAAAAAGTGAAATAAGTCGTGTAGTTAATGGAGTCTGATTTTTTCTGATCTCAGGAATCGGATTATACGGACCAATCGGCGATCAGGGTAGTGCCGATTCTGGGCAATGATGCCAAGACTCAGGGAAATTCTGATGACACGTCAAATAGTCAGACTCAGAGAGGCGCACCGAAGAAATCGGGGAAACCCAGAAGGCCGCACCTAATCCTCAAACGATCAAAAGTCAATGGGGGTATGGGTCAAAAAAGGATACCCAAACGAAGTGAACTCGTGTTTCTTCAGCAATCACCCAATTATTGCGAGGCTGATCTGACACAGGGGAGTCTTGGGACCGTGGGGAGGGGATGCAATCGCACAAGTAAAGGTAATTGAAAGTAATTACAAAGACGAATTCATCTTCCCATTTCAATTTTATAGATGTTACATAAAACTAAAAACTAAGTGATGAAATTTCATTTTCAATTTTTGGAATTACGTCGACCCAATAAGACCCACGAAATTTTAAAATAAATTTTTTCAAAATCTTTTTGGTTAATTTGGTGGCAATTCAAATTATTAAGCACATAAATTGTTTAGCTATCAATATTCATGGGTGGCGGAAAAAATATCCCCGGAAAAAATATCCCCCCAATCATACATTTCATTTCTGTCACCCTTTTTTTTATGTACATATTTTTCCAGAGGTGGGGGGGCGTAGAGGGGGGTCCAGGGGCGCAGCCCCTGGCGGGGTCGAGGGGCGGAGCCCCCGTGGGGTGCAGGGGCGAAGCCCCCTCCCACTCCCCACATATCACATTAAATGAAAATTTGAGAAAAGGAAAAAAGATTTTTTTTTTCATGGGGAATCGAACCCTTAACCCTTTTATATGTCATAATAAATAAAGAAATTTTTTTCTAAAATGCATTTTGTAAATTATTAAAATTAGGATTTTTAAATATTTATTATTAAGAATTAAATATTAGAATTTTTCTTGGCGATAATTTTTCCGGGGATATTTTTTCCGGGATATTTTTTCCGGGGATATTTTTTCCGGGGATATTTTTTCCGGGATATTTTTTCTGGGGATGTTTTTTCAGGGATTCAATATTCATGGAGTGGAAACGATAATGTTATTCAAATCGGAAGTCCCCGGCGTTTTCTATCTATTGATACGCGTAGTGGGAAAATTGGGATTCCCGGAATTCCCTAGGATATCATATATGACTAAGAATTATGACGTCATGAGGAACAATTACTTTAAAACATTTTAAACAACATTTCACGAACAATTTTACTCTTTGATTAGATTTGTTGGAAGTATATCTTTCGGTTTAACCAGATAAATTTCATTGACTTAATCACTAACGAATTTAATGTTCTGAAAATAGGAACGGATGGATGTGACCTGATGTGCTGCGGTCGCGGTTACAATACTCACCAATACACCCGGAATTGGCAGTGCAGATGTAAATTTCACTGGTGTTGTCGTGTCCACTGTGACACGTGTACAGAGCGTACGGAAGAGTATACGTGCAAATAGACGGGATGGAGAAGTAAACAATGGACAAGAAATGACTGTTTGAAAACAAACGAAACGAAAGACTCAAATTCAGTTATCTATATATATTTTCACGATCCCCGGTGAGTCACGTCTCTTCATCACTTATGATTAATCCGAACATGTACTTAAAAAATGTTAATTGAAAGAAGACTTGATGATGTTTTCCATTCAGCGTTAGAGTGGGCTTGTGATTTCGTAATAAAAATGAAAAAATTCCACTCTATGAAAGAACGATGGATAGAAGGCACTGAAACATGACATTGTGGGCTGTACATTCGTAGTGATGATTTTCATTGAAATCAGTTACTCAGTCGATTATGTACCTATTAATGAATTATAAATATCGTAAGAGCTATTTTTTAATGAATCACCAAGTGCCCTTCTCGGAAGTTTTATATATGAATATAAATTATTATTTATTCAATTCGATAAATTATCACTTGTACTTAAACAACAAATGGATTTCCCTTCGCCATTAATAAAGAAGTATTGTAAAAAAAATTGTGTGTCAATGATTGATAGAAAATTCCATTTTTAGAATTCCTCAGAAGAATTCGAAGTCGTCAGTGTGCGAATCCTTAAGAAGTTTAGAAATTTTTTACTTTACCGACTAGATTGTAATTCACAAATTACTCAGCCTTCCGTCTAATTCATGTGCGGTTAAAGCAATTGATTTAGTTATTCCGTGGATAAATCTCGTTGTAACAATCCATAATCTCTGTTTATGACACATATTGAATATGATCCATAAATCAAAGAGTTCCCAGTATTTTTGTCGCCTCTAACTTTGCCCTGTGATCCTCGTCATTTCTCGCTGGAAATTCAGCTGTCATCTTGAGATATTTCATGGCTTCGTCTTTTCTCTGCAGTTTTAAATAAGTTTTCCCTAGGAATAACAGATTGTGGCTGTAGAACAAGGGATCGATTTTCTCGGCAGTTTCGAAGTATTGCAATGCTTCCTCGTAGGAAGAGGATGGAACTGTTCCAAATATAGCTGATGCAATTTTTCTCTGGTACCAAGGCATGTCGGCCACACTGAAGCACCAGTTCCCCAACATGTAGAGGGTTGTAGCGTCATTTGGATTCAACTCAATAGCTTTCTGAAATGTAATCAATTATCAATTACCCATTTTTAATACCTCAGTTCTGAATTCAAATTTTTAGAAGAGGATTCCTCACCATCATATGTTCTTTGCACGTTAACAAATTCTTAATTCTCGCTTTTATTCCTTCGTATTCATTTTTTGTGTCTGACAAAACTGCCATCCACTTGTGAACAGCCCAGTGATTGTTATCAATTTTCAAAGCATCTTCCATGATGTCGTATCCCTCGTAGACCATTCTCTTTGCTTCTACGTCACTAGCACTTTTTGAATGATTGAAAAGTGCTCGACTCAGTCTCCATAGGATCTCCACATCCTTATTATCCTTTGAAAGATAATTAAAATAATGAAAAGTGACAGCTTAATTATCGCGGAAAAGTCACAAACAAATTGTCATCCAGATGAGCATTTCGTATGAAGACAATGAAAACATGTTTTAATGTTGGAATTAATCCATAAAAATAATTCAACATACTCGATACTTTATGAGTAAATCGTAAATCTTCTGATACTCTCCACTTTCGAAAAGAGCGTCAGCCTTGGCGAGTAAAACCTTTTTTGTCGTAATAGATTCTTTACTGTCATTACTCTTCGAAGATCCAAAAAGTGCCAATGAGAGTGCTGGAGCTGACAGTAAACATTTTTGTCTCCAACGTTTGTGAAACTATCAGGAGAAAATAACAAAAATTACAGGTATAACAAAGTTTAATATAATTTATGAAATATTGTGTAAGTTTTCGTCCAATTTTATTGAGATATTAAAAAATTTAAGAAAATAATTGTGTACCTTTAACAATTGTCAAGTTAGAGTTCTTGTAAATAAACTAGATTGCATAAAAAAAATACCTTCGAGGCCGCACTGACAACTTGAAGTGTCAAAATTCTTTGTGGAATTCGATAAAATCCCGCCAGCCGCAGAATTCGCTGAATCACCATAATTATACAAGGTCTAAAACAAAATGTCATCTAATTATCCTTTGGCATCAATTGACAGGAAATGCCTGCACTGACATTGTAGATACAACAATTCACGTTGATTAATCATAATTTCCAAATATTCTCTATTTTTCTTTAGATTCGATTCCGCCCATGTCAAAAACTAAGTGATAAATAAAAATCAAATCTGAAATCGATATTTCAATTGTTAACCCACCACTCGAAAAAGCGGATCACAATGAGACGTCAAATCAAATGCCAGCTGTAGTACTTTGCACCTTGCAATTAAATTTACCAATCGGGGTTTTTCGTAGAAAAAATCGAAAGCATTGAAGCAATATCAGAAGATGGAAGTCTCCAAAGAAGATTGACTAAAGTAGCTCAGGTCTGGGGGTTTGAGTGACCCCACCCGCATCGTAGTACCCCACCCCAAGGGAGAGAGGGTGCCACACGCAATGGTGGGGTGTCTACCTGTCAGCCGATTCGCTAACTGCCTCAGTAGCAATCCCGCTGTCAGAGGGGTTAGTCGATGGGGTGAATATTATTTCTGCGTTACAAAATTGCGTTTTGCTTTTTTTTTTATAAAATTTCGAATTTTCACATTTCAGTTAATACCTCCTCCATTTTCATGGTCCCCTGATACATTTTGAAAAATTTAGAATTTTTCAATTCCAGTGAATACCTCTTGAATTATTATGCTCTCCTGATACTTTTTCAAAAATTTCGAATTTTCAAATTTCAGTGAATACCTGCTCCATTTTCATGCTTCCCTGATACGTTTTTGAAATTTTTGAATTTCAATGAATACCTCCTCAATTGTCATGCTCTCCTGATATTTTTTCTAAAATTCGAATTTTCAAATTTCAGTGAATACCTCCTCAATTTTCATGCTCCCCTGATACGTTTTTGAAAATTTTGAATTTTTCAATTTCGATGAATACCTTCTCAATTGTCATGCTCTCCTGATACTTTTTTGAAAATTTTCAATTTTTCAATTTCAGTGAATACCTCCTCAATTGTCATGCTCTCCTGATACTTTTTCAAAAATCTCGAATTTTCAAATTTCAGTGAATACCTCCTTCATTTTCATGTTCCTCTGATATTTTTTTGAAAATTTTGAATTTTTCAATTTCAATGAATACCGCCTCAATTGTCATGCTCTCCTGATACTTTTTCAAAAATTTCGAATTTTAAAATTTCAGTGAATACCTCCTCCATTTTTATGTTCCCCTGATACTTTTTTGAAAATTTTGAATTTTTCAATTTCAGTGAATACCTCCTCAATTGTCATGCTTTCCTTATACTTTTTCAAAAATTGCGATTTTTCACATTTCAGTGAATACCTCCTCGATTTTCATGTTCCTTGATACTTTTCCAAAAATTTCGAATTTTCGAATTTCAGTGGATACCTCCTCTATTTTCATGCTCCCCTGATGCGTTGTTGAAAATTTTTAATTTTTCAATTTCAATGAATACCTCCTCAATTGTCATGCTCTCTTGATACTTGTTCAATAATTTCGAATTTTTTAATTTCAGTGAATACCTCCTCCATTTTCATGCTCCCCTGACACTTTTTTGAAAATTTCGAATTTCTCCCGGGGTGCAGTACTACGATGCCGCTGGGGTCACTCAAACTCCTAGAATTGAGCCTCTACTGCAGTCAATCCTATTTGAGAGTCCCTCTCAAAGAGAATAACTGAGAGTTGAGAAACATTTGAAAGTGGCGCTGCATGTCTTGTCCATTTTTCCATCATCAACCGAAAAGATCAGTCTCCTTCTCATCATGGATCGGTAAGAAATCACCCCAACATTAATTCCTCACAATTTTCCTCTCTTGATCCAACACTCTGTTATGACTCAGTGGACGAAGTAAATGTGTCGGCGTGTCACATAAATAAAGACGTGTCAATATTCATTTTTCAATAAAAAAAAGGAAGGGGATTACATTTGCTGGTAACCTTGGCGAAAAGTACTGAGCAAGGTAATTAATTCATTTATAATAGTGTTAGTAGATTGATGGCGTCAAAAAGAAAATAATTGCATCTTCGTTTTACAGATGATTACTGACATTCAACTCGCAATATTCTCCAATATTCTTGGAGTCACACTGTTTTTCCTCGTATTTCTATTCCACTATATAAATGCTAATTACGGAAAATAAGAAGTGTCCATGATATCCATGCAAAAAAAATTCAGGAGCCGAAACTACTCACCCAAATGACAACGCAGGAGACTTTTTATCACGTTTGTAACTACTCGTGTTCTAGAAGTTGAAAGAGAATTATTACATTGTATACTATGATGCGACAATTCCTGGAATAAATTTTAATTTCTATGTAGAATGTTTTTTTTTTAATTACTTCACTTCATGAGGAGGATCGGAATTTTATTAATCGTGTAAGTCGGTAAAAATGTGAAATTTGAAATTTGAAATTTTGAAATTAAAAATTTGAAATTGAATTGAATTGACTTCAGGATGGAATCAATCCCAAAAATTTTCGTTTATTGCAAAAACTGAGTTTTTTGTATTCTGTAATAATTAATTTTTCGTCGACCGAGACGAAGGCTTCCACAAAAAAATTTCGTAGCGGTGGCGGGTGAACTAATCCGGAAAACTACTCATGTGAATAAGGAAGGACACGAGGACGAAAGCGTCGATAACTTTGAGAGGCCGTAATTGTGGCTAAAAAAAGGCCGTGCGACCGGAAAAATTGGGGTCAAGGACATTTAGAACTTCAAATCAATCTGCCACCCCTGTGCACATCCGATTTCCGTCAAATTTCCAGGAAATGCGCCTAAAGAGTATAAAAATCGAATAAAAGAAAAAATCAATGGTACCGATCGTTCTCATTGTTCTACTTGCGCTAATTTATTTATTTTAATCCAGACTAAACTGTTAATCCTCGATTAAAAGGTCTCAGCAGATTAATAATCCCTAATTATCCTGGAACCGGGAATACCTGGAGAAGTATCCAACCGCTCTTTAATTTGCTGTATTCTTTTTCAAAATAACATTTAATCCTCGATTAAAATGTCTTAGCAACCCTAATTGACTCACGATTGGGGGAAAAATTCAGGAAATATCCAACTGTTCTTTAATTTGTTTTGTACAACGCTCGTGTGCAGGATCGAGTACAGATAAACCTGTATATGTAAGTATACCTGTTCGTCTGGGTAAGGAAAACACGCAAAAAGCGCGCTGTATATTTCATATATTCATTTTCGTTTTATTCATCAAGACGATCGGACGGCGCGCGTGCACATCCATTATCTTTCAAATCGCAGTACCATATTTATCTTTCCCGCACATTCTGATGAATCAAATTCGAAAATAAGTTCCATAAAAAAGACCATCAACAACAAATTGTTCGTGATAAAAAAAAACCGGTAAAATTATAAAACTAATCGTAATCAACATTTCTCCTAATTACTCGTAATAATTGATGAAATAATCGAACGCGTGCAGTGAATGCTCTGTCATTACTTGTAATTTTTTCTCGTCTCTCGATAACAAAAAATTGAAAAAAAAAAATGCGGTGCACGCGTTTACAATCAAATGGTGATATCAATAGTGTTTTAAACAGTTGGCGTACGTTTTCGTGGATGTAAAATATTGTTAATTGTTATCCGTCAAGTATCGAGTGAATAATAATAATGAAAACACGTGATATGAATTCCCAATGACATATCCATCGCGTCAAATGAGAAATAATAACAAAAATGAGATAGTGATTATCAATATGATTTTGAATATTTTTATGGTTTTATTGATGAGTGTTATAACTTGTGGATTAACAGTGGATTATGTAGAAAAATACGCTGAATGTATGGCGCAATGTCAACAAGTAAGCCTAAAAAGATATGACTTGTCTTATCGAGAAAAAGCCTTGGAAATTGTTCACAAGCCTCGAATAATTTCGTGGTAATGCATGTAACACGTACGCCTAAAATCGGGTATTTGCACGTGTACTATTTTTTAATATGTAAAACGAAAAATTTGGTATTGCTCGCTGTGATTATCGGATGTAGCTAAAGTTGACACAGTTGGCTCCATCACTACGTGCTATCGAAAAAAAAATGAAAAAAATAAAAAAGATCCCGATACACTGAATTATTAAAAGCAAACAACAGAAAAAAGCTTAAAAACCGGTATGTAACTATTGAAATACTTAGCATTGGAGGCTGAATACATGAATCGTTAACACGTGTTTGAATTGTCACTGCTGTCTTTTCAGAGGATATTGAACGCAGAGATGTATTATCGATTATCGTGTCCCTTACGAGCGCCTAGATAAAATGATCTATCATACTATCGTCATAGACATTCAGGGTCGTTCATTTAAAAAATCATTAATAATCTTAAGAACATTGTGCAGGGGAAATGAATGATGTGATTTTTGCAGCGGACGATATTGAACGAGATTGAATGATATTGGACGATAAATTGCGATAATTGTCAATTAAATTGTGCAAAAAAATGTGAAAACCTGATTGATGTTGAGATCGATCTTGTCACTGCGATTCTTCGGCTGCCGCAGCAATACCGCATTCCTGGAAATTATTTCAGACCAGTCTCTGAACGCGTATGAATATTTACCGGCAATCAGTCGACATTAGTAATTATTAGTTAATTACGGGAAGGGTTGATCAATCGTTAATAATTGAAACAGAGTGTTTCATTAAGTTGAATTAACTAGGACTAGGAATTAATTCAGACCAATTTCCAGCTCACGAATATTAACCGGCAATCAATGGTCATTAGGAAATAAATTAATTTTATCAATTAATGCAAGGGCTGACTAATTGGTATTTTTACACCCGCGATTTTCGATATTTTTGAAATATTTTGTCAATTTATTATTTTATTTGTGGAAGTGTAAACAATAATGAGAATTAATGAAAAACCGAGTTTGAATTAACATTCAGAGAAAACAACGTTAGACATTATATGTGCAACATCAATCAATGTGCATTAATCACCTGTGCGATTACGGTGATTACTTATGCATTTGCCACGAAAGCAGGGAGTGAAGGTGGGGAATTTACGTAGGCAAAAGGAAAAATAATGACTTCTTATTTCCAACGAGGTGATAGTTAAATTTACTGATAGACTAGTCAGTACAGATGTTTGTCACGAAGGTTGGCGGGAGAATTATCCATAGGGATTGGACTGATAAAAAATTTCATGCTAATATTGAAAATACTCTATTACGTCGGTAACGGTAATGGACTATTTGAATAGCAATACGTTAATTTAGCACTTACCATAAATACCGACATCTGTTTTCTTGTTCTTTTGGTTAATAGATCATTTTTTTTACTCTGCTCAAATTATTTCAACGGTTTTTATTGTTTAATGTCGGGATATCCCGGAGAATATGAGAAATTGTTAACGTAATTTTTATGAATTCCTCTCTTGTTTTTATTGTTTAATGTCGGGATATTCCGGAGAATATGAGAAATTGCTAACGTAATTTTTATGAATTCCTCTCTTGTGGTGGAAGGAATCCAGTAGAAAATACTAGGCGACCTTCAGGAATTCTATATTTCTATGGAGAATTTCCTTTGGAGAGTCCTCTCGATAATTTCTCCGTCAATAATATCCTTGAGAAAACAAGTGGAAAATTACTCTTATCCGTAAATAGCACAAGTGTTGTTGCTTATGGAGTAGTAAATAATCATTTTGCACATAATTTTATTCTGTCACGCGAAATTCTGCGCTTGGAGTTATTTTCATGAATTAAATTATATTCTGTTGATTTTGCTAGATGTGTTGTAAAAACTCTTGAATAAATTAAATAAGAAAAATGGGAAATTGACAGTGTCATCACTAATATTGCCATTTTTTAGTAAAATTTCTATAATAATAATATTCTCCCTAAATATTATTTTACCAAAGCCTTGGAATTCATTAGAATATCAGATTCTGTCGATAATAAATTTTAATAATAATAAGTTCTAATAAACAAATAGATAAAAGTGTGGAAAATAAAAATTTATCAACTTTATTCCGTTTTTATTCCGTTTTTAATGTTGCGCATCCGCTCTGTACGTGAAAAGATAAATTGAATTTTATGAATTCATTACAATGATCTTAATCACCTCGTTTTACTCAACCAGGTACACCATTCAAATTTTATTTCCTAGTTCACCACAGGTCAAGCATGACAAATTACTAAAATAAACTAGTCGATTGTATTTGTTACATAAACGAAGTTCTTGAAACTACTGACCTTTTCCGTCACCTACATCCGATATTGGAAATTTAATCTGAGGTCTTCACAAAATAAACAAACAACATACCGAAAAGGAAAAAAGAATCTAAAATAGACTAGTTCTAGATCCCATCCTAGACTAAGAAGAAAAATCCAAAAATGTTCTTTCAATTTGAATTTAAATTGAAAATCGAAAGTTAATTATTAGTTTGATAAAATTATTAGTGATATTTTTGTGTTATTGAGTTATTGGGGTTGGCTCTTGGTGTAAAATACTCTGATTAATTATTTTGTTTTTTCAGACATCATGCCGAGATGATTGCTTTCATAAAAAAATCCCAAATAAAGGCAAGTGCTATTTTTGAGAATAAAAAAATCGTGGGTGTGGAAATTTGAAATGTTTGTCTTTTAGAAATGGAGATATCCTCGGAGGCAGCAAATTTCAACGCAGAATTGCACTGCAAAGATGTTGATCTCCTGACGATAAAACATAATCCTGGGATTTATTTTATTATGATGGAAGACGAATCCAACACGCGAATAAATGTCTCGGTGGTGAGTGATTTCACATAAAATCAGTAAATAAATATCAATCTGTCAATTATGTCTGGTCAATAAAGTTATCACATCTTGTTCAATTCTGATTGAAATTACTATGACTAATGTTTATAAAAATAGAAGCTTCTTTATGATAAAAGTGAAATAAAATTGATTTAATCAGACCGAAGGGGAATTCCTGATTTCCAAAAATCTCCAGCCCGCCACAGCTTATCGCTATACAGCCCGGCGATTTGATAATAACTACATCTCTGCACCAGAAATTACTGAATGGTTTACCACAACACGAAGTAAGATTAACAAATTCTCAGATCTAAATTCAACAATCCAATTAAAATCATACAATTCCGTCGTCTTTCAAATGAAAAGTCTATTAAGGCCTGGATGGACTGTCTGGAAAAGATAATTTACTCCGAAATTGGGACTTCTAATTACTCCGTCAATTAATCGTTTTTTCCAATAATTGTTAGCTAGCGGCCTAGTTGTTGATAACCACTAGAACGCTAGCTAACAATTATTGAAAAAAACGATTAATTGCCAAAGTAATTAGGAATCCGAATTTCGGAGTAAATTATCTTTTATAGATAATCCAACGGGTCCTTAAGGCCCGGATGGACTGTCTGGAAAAGATAATTTACTCCAAAATTGGGACTTCTAATTACTCCGTCAATTAATCGTTTTTTCAATAATTGTTAGCTGGCGGCCTAGTTGTTGATAATCGCTAGAACGCTAACTAACAATTATTGAAAAAACGATTAATTGCCAAAGTAATTAGGAATCCGAATTTCGGAGTAAATGATCTTTTCTAGATAATCCAACGGGTCCTTAAGGCCCGGATGGACTGTCTGGAAAAGATAATTTACTCCAAAATTGGGACTTCTAATTACTCCGTCAATTAATCGTTTTTTCCAATAATTGTTGGCTAGCGGCCTAGTTGTTGACAACCGCTAGAACGCTAGCTAACAATTATTGAAAAAAACGATTAATTGGCAGAGTAATTAGGAATCCGAATTTCGGAGTAAATGATCTTTTCTAGATAATCCACCCGAGCCTTAAATTATTCAACTCATTTATCAATGAAGCGAATCCAAAAAAAAAGACCATCCATCCAATCAATAATCATCTCAAGAATTTTCAATTAATCAATCGATTGTCGGTCAAATTGAAATGACTAATTACTGAAGTCATTATCATCATCGCTTAATGGAGATAAACGAGCAGAAGAGCGAAACATTATACTCAGAAAGTAAAAAGCGACTGATGCTGGTCCCTGAGGACGACTTTTACTCGATTATCACTTTTTTACCTGGAATCTATCTTTCAGTGGGAATTATACCAGCCAGACCGGCTGGGGTGTTCGTTGAGAATATTTTACAGGATGACGTGAATGATGATCGCCTGATGGCTGAAGTTGCTTTTGCACCCGGCGAAGGTAATAGTTTTCAATAAATTTTACATGCCGAGTGACGATTGATTTTTTTATCAATTCTTTATGTAGATCGCAGCTGCTTCTATGAAGTTCTATCCCTCAAGGAAGACGAAGGATTGACCATTGCGAGCTTTGATGGGGTATGACTACTGTGAATAATTAATCTATTAATCTATTAATAACACCTGCGTATTGTCAATAATATATAATCAATATTTTAATAAATAATCAATTATTTTAAGGGTGTCATTCGTAAATTCCACATCCATCGACTTTTTAAATCTAATAAAAATAAAAAGTAGAATCTATTTTAGTAAATAAAAACATTTTAGTATAAAATAGAATATGTCTTCAGCGCATTACGGCACATGGTCTGTAAATATATGTAATATATACTAATGACCAATAGTTAAAGCTCTCGTATGCAATTTATTGTACATTCATAAACAATACCCAACACTTTCTGCTTCTTCGATTGATAGTAATGATTGAATTATTAATAATATTCTGCAGACACTGGGATTTCAATTAAAACTTCCGAATCTCGGGTACCACCGGAACAATACAGTAATTATATCAGCAATAAATAATGGAAGTTCAAAGAGTAGTGACAATGTTACAATGACTTTTCACACTCCCACGTGTCTGGAAATCCATGAAAATATAACGAGATGTCGTGAGTTGATTGAAAATTATAAACAATTTGGTCATAATTAAATGAAAATGGTTGAAAATAAATATTCTCCACTGAATTTTCAGCTCCAGATCAAATTATTGGATTACGAGTGACCGATGAACGGGGGAACAACTCCGATTTCGATTTTTCAGTTTCATGGAATAAACCGAAATTTACACCTGATAATTATACAGTTCAATTAACAACTATTGATCAGTCGAGAGAACCTTATCTCATTATTGTTAACGGGGTGAGTGACTTATCTTTGGATTTTCCTTCGTGTTTTCCTTCCTATTATTCAAATAACCAATATGAAATTATGAAAACCTGTTTCTGCATTGAAATTTCTTCGATAGATAAGGAAAGTAGCGAAATAATCTTTATTCATTACACCTTGCTAATAGACCAATCATTTATTTAATCGATGATCTGTGGGAATATTATCGAAATTAGTGCATTATGGGGGAGAGGCAGGAAAAATTCTAAAGATTTTAAGGATTCATTTTTTATTTATATTGATATTCAATTTATTGAATTGATATTGACCAACTTATTATGGGGAATTATGACAGATTTCTTTAGAAATTATAATATTTCCTAATGATCTTTCATTGAATACCTCAAATTAAATTGAAAATTCAACGAAATCTGTCGATTCAATTTCTGTTTTTAATTTTAAACAGAACTATATCAATGGGATTTCATGTTTTTATAATTACTGATTCAATTTAATTAGTTCAACTACGAAAAAATGGTGATAAACATGAAGAGAGATAAATGCCCATCTGATCCTTGAATATTTATAGAATTCAACAGGAGTTTCTTACTCATTGAAAAACGTTGGACTGCCTCACATGCTGACAATTATAGCAGAATCGCCCGGTGGAACAACGACTCCAGAGACAATTCCAATTGCTCTTGCATCAGAGATCGATCCCTCATCATCATCGGGTAAGAATAAAACCCATCTAAAAAATTGATAACGAATTACTGACAAACTGGATGAATAAATTGTCTCCTCAATTATCCAATTTCCAGTACTCCAAGAAGTCCTGATAGTCTTCCCCGCTGTAACCTTGACCGCTGCAGTGATAACAATGATTTACATTTACTACAGATATAAGAAGATGCGGAACTGCAGGGATCCCTATCGGTACTGCAAGGTGAGAGCTTTGAATTTATTTTTAAATTCGTTCCCAATATTTTACAAGACCCCAACGAAAATTCAAAACATTAAAATTTCACTCTCCCGTCCCTCTATTATTTATAAACAATTTTTTCCAGCAACAAAAATATGGAAAGTTTAATTTATCTTCAGTCCCGGAATATACATACGTATTTTGCACTAAAAATATTAAACGAATATTAAAATATTAATAATAAAGAGACATTGTTTAAAGAATTTCCCCATTACCCCAGGTTCCCTTACATAAACAATTACATAACAATTTTTTTAATTAGGAAAATGGATATTTAATTTTTAATAAATCTCGAGTGGTAAAAATTCCATTTTTAACTGAAATTACTGGAGTAATTTTATTTGTTAATCACGTAGATTAAAGGTGTTTCAAGGTCTTCAATATTTCAGAAGAATTTGCATGGAAGGACGATATTTAATCTCCTGTACGAAAAACCGAAGCTTTTGGAAGTGGAGAACAAGATCGAGGATGATCCACTGATAACTAAAGATCACTTTGAACTAGGCGCAATGCAGTTGAAAATAAAAGACATTTTAGGAAGTGGATTTTCGGGTGTCGTTCGCTTAGGTTCATTAAAGATTAATGATAATGAAACTATCGACGTTGCAGTGAAAATGTTACGAGGTAAACTCCAAACGATAGCCTTGAATAATAAATCGAATAGATGAAATTTTAATTGTGAAAATTATTCAACAGATTGTCCCAGCGCTGAGGACATAAAAAATTTCCAGCAGGAGATGATGGTGATGAAATCAGCTGGAAAGCATCCGAATATTGTTTCCCTGATCGGCTGCTGCACATCGGAAATTAAACCGATGATAGTCGTCGAATATTGTAGCAAAGGAGATCTCCAGAATTATCTGAGAAATGTGAGTGATGTAAAATGATATTTTAAATTATTTTTTCATGATTTACAGCAATGCCAATGAAATTCGTTTGTTGTTGTTATATTTTATTGAATTACGTTTGTGTATTCCAATTATCTGTAGATATGGAAGACAATTATGGAAGATTCTTTGCGTCGTGAAGCCAAATGTAAAATGATAGACGAAAGAAACAGCGGGAACGCGAGGTTTTTTCACCCGGAATACGGTAAATAAAAAACTCGTGGATTATTTAGATGTGATAGTACTGAAAAGCCGATGTAAAAACTGTTTGTATTTTCTCTAGCGAACAATGAAGAAGTCGCAGTTTCCAATACCCTTTACGATATGCAGCAAGGTAATTTCCGGGATTATGTACAATGATTTCTCGAAATGTTATTAAAAATATTACTATTTGCAGATATGCTTAACACCACAGAGAACATAACAGCCGCTGATTTACTCAGTTTTGCACTACAAATTGCGAATGGAATGGTAAATATGGTTAACAAGCGTGCAATTATCAATTTATTATCATTAATTATACTCTACAGAAATTTCTATCGCTAAATCGAATAGTCCATCGTGATTTAGCTGCGAGGAATGTATTGGTTTGTGGTGACAGAACAGTGAAGATTTCGGATTTTGGATTGAGTCGAGATATTTATCAGGATAGTGTTTATAAGAAACAGGGGGATGGAAAACTCCCACTCAAATGGATGGCTGTGGAGGCATTAACTCATCAGATTTACACGAGTCAAAGTGATGTGTAAGTACATTTAATTATTTAGTAATTCCTATCAAATCCGATTTTTTTTTCACGTTCAAAAACAATTCTATCATTTATAAACTGATAATGGAACTAATTTCTCTGAGGATTGACTGATGATTAATTGATAACACTTTACTTCTCCCAGGTGGTCTTTTGGAATCCTACTGTGGGAAATTGTCACTCTGGGCTCCAATCCTTACCCTGACACACCTACACATATGATTCTTCAGGTTCTGAAAACCGGATATAGGATGGAAAAACCTAGTAATTGCGGGCGAGAACTGTAAGTATAAGAGTATAAAAAATAATTTAATAGTGCAATTGAAATTTTCAATCCTTACTATTTTTTAAAAATAATATACCCTCGAGAGGGAAATGTTTTTCAAAAACAGGGATAACAAGAAAACCTAAAATCTGCGTAAAATTTATTCCTAAAGGTATGATATAATGCTTTCCTGTTGGCGCACGAGTCCCCGGAGCCGACCGACGTTCACGGATTTGCAGCGTAATCTGGAAAAATTATTACAGGCTGTTGGCCATCACGAATATTTAAATTTATACGATATTCACCAAGAGTCGCGTAACGCCAATACTTCCGAATAAATAAATCCATCCAGTCCACCGAATTCAGAATTAAAATCGCGCCATAATCATGTGCAAAAACTCTTATTTTTTATTTTATATATATTCCATCCGTACATAAGAATCTGTGGTACAACTTGTCTCAATATCCATATATGTACATAATCTTACTTTTCGAATCTCAAAAACTCATAGTAATAACATGGAAATAAACTTTAAGGCTTGTCCCTTGCGCAGGTTATCAGTAGATTTAAACGATTAATATTACAAAATGGTACAGTATGTTGATTTACACGTTTTTATGGAACATTTTGTTCTGGTGTTTAAAGCATTAGCTTCTCGAATACCAAATATCCATGGATAAATGAATGTCAACGAGTGCGAATATTTCATTATTCATCGAATAAGGAATGAATTTTTTCAATTGAATTATTCATTCTCATGATTCAGTGTAATTATTCTCAACGATAACTATTGTACAGCCGCACATGATCGATAGCTTCATGATTTTTTTAATTTCATAAAATGATATGAACCAGAAGACTGATATCACTTTTTAAATAATAGTAACTGCATACCAACAGACCATCCCACATTTTTACAGATGAAACTTGTCCCAGTTTATTGCCAGTAATGAGTTTCAGGAGATAATTTATCGTATTTTCTGTCATCAGAATTTATTCTACAGTAGTTAACGTGATTCTGGCAGTAGGCCTTGCTCACTGATGATCTCTCAAAGATCATTATAACATCGAGATATATTTTTATAATAAAAATCCTCCGGTGAGATATTTACAGACTTGGAAAAAAATCACTTGTATAATTTAGGCATTTTTACGTATTCAGAAACGAAAACCTATTTTTTCACCGAAAAGCTAGAAATGATTTGAAGTTTACACCACGAATGTTCGTTTAATGAAAGTTTTCAAGTTTAGTGGAAGTAATGCCAAATAGATCTCAATCTGCAAGAAATACAAATTTTTTTTTGATTTAGTAAAATATTTAGGATAGTCTTATGGATATAAATTTATCTGATGTACATTATTTACGATAATTTTGTTTGTTTTGAATAAAATGTTCTTTCAGAATCTCTCGTGCACTTTATTACATGGGAATTTTCTACTTTGGTGATACCACGAAGCCTCCTAAGTACAAATATCATTAAAAAGTGAACTGGCACACGATAAAAACAGAAATTTCTCGATTCAGTTCACGCAGACGTCTAAAAAAATCTCGCATGTTCATTCTTCTTCTCATAAAAAAGCACATTTTCAAGTGATACTTTCAGGGAATCTTATTCAATACTTACAATCGATGCTGGATTAATGGATGTAACGATATAAAATAACTAGGACAACTCAATGTCTCTCTCATAATTTCATCTTTCGTTTTCTTGTAATACGTGTAAACTTTACATTGAGTCAAAGCTGAAATATTTCATGGAGTCACAGTTAATCACAGATAAATCCGTTCCTATGGTTGTGAGAAACGACCAGACACTGACCTCGAGAGTCGGCTCGACTGTTTGGATAATTTTAGTTAATTATTGTGGAGGGGCTAGGTGTATCATACATGATCGTTCCTGTGATTCAGCCTGTCTTCTCTATCTACCGGTGGAGGTGCACTCGGTATTTGAGCACTTGGACCTGCTGTCAAATATCCAGCTGATACTGGTATACCTGCTGAAATATAAACAAAGACAACTTCATTTTCAATCAGTTTCAACATTTGAAGCCCAATTTTATCACTCCTTAAGCATTATCAAAATATTCCTTCCAGAGGAATCTCTAGAAGTTACGAAATAAATTTATGAAAATAATTTTTAAAAAATAATGCATTGGGTACCTGTGAGATAGCCAGCGGTAGGAGCATTAGAAATAAACAAATCATGCTTCTGATCCTTGTACTCAGCCCAAACCGATGATTTCTCCAGAATGGAATTCACCCTCTCTCCAAGGAGAATACTCCTCGTCATGGCTTTCAAAGCCTTGACAATCTGAGCTTTAGTTGTGGCTGGATTGTCGATGAGGTCGAGTCTGCCCTCCAGAATATTCAGCAAATAAGGTACCATTTCCGCTTCCAGAGCCTGCAACACGTGAAAAATTCCCCTTTTTCCTACAATTCCATAGATCACGACAAGTGACAAAAATTGTTGTTCAATTCACCTGCTTAATGAGACGATCCTCATTCGTTGAAAATAGTCTATTGAGTGTCTCGCAGGCAACTGCGATCATATCCTTCCTGGACTGCATGGCAAGCTTAAGTGGACTAATACAATCAGTCTGGCATATTGAATTTATGCAAATCTCACTGGTAGCTAGCTGATGTAAAATAAGTATGGCCGCTTTGTAGACTGGTGGCTGGCTATTTCTCGTGGCCATCTGTCTGCACAGCCTGGGTATATGCCCCAACGAGGGCACCTGATCAGCCAGTGCAGGTTGAGCCTGAAGAAGACAAACGAGTGCCTGAGTCGTTAGTTCCAGCATATCAGCATCGGTTTTATCCCTTGACATAAGTGATAACGTGGTGTCCAACAAATCACTCAGAAACTCCTTTGGCTTCCTCAGTGCCCAAGCTGGACTGGCAACGAATAATCTGAGATAAACACCCCCAACAACAGGCTCATTAGTAGCAACATCAATATTATTCGGTGGCTCTGGTAATTTCAATACACCATTGGGATTTCTCCTCTGTAACGAGTAGTAATCATCCTTCAACTCCGCTACCATTCTCGATACTTTGCCCTTGGCATCGTCATCCCAAATCAATTCTGGATTTTCATGTTTCGTTTCAAACATGTGAACACATTGTTTTGGTGCATCACGAATTGCCTCACTGAATAATCTTGGAAGAAACTTGGATAGATCCAGCTTGACCTTCGGCCCTGCCAGTTTATCAGACGACATTTTTGCCAGGAGATCAGCCGCTCCTTCACGAATCTGAATATTACTTGAGTTGCAGAATAGATCGAGAATGTAGATCACAGCACCTTTCGCCAGAGCGTCTTTAACAATTCTCGTTGTGCTCATCAGGGCGTACAACGTTTCCAAAGTTAAGAGCTGATGTTCCCTCAATGTGTGAAGAGTTAACAGCAGGTGGACAACGACTTCATTTGCAGCTATGTCGTTCACGCACTCGTGATTCTTCGTGACGTTGTTGATGACCTCTAAAGCGCCCCTCTGAATTGGTTTAAAGTTATTGCAGCTCAAAAGTCCGAATATCAGGGTAAAGTGCCCTATGCACTGCATCTCGATTCCAGGGTTATTCTTGATGACGTTCTTGAGAGCCTCCAGAGACATGACAATTGCCTTGAGTCTTTCCTGATCCTTCTTGGACAGGGTCATGCTGCTGAGGGATCCCAGATACTCGGAGGACTTTGACAGAAAGTCCAATAAATCAATAGTGAAGCCTTTTGGATTCTCAATAGGAAAAGTCGGCTGTTCGTTGTACACTTTGACAAATATCTCCCCTATGACAAGCTCATCGTTATGAGCACTGTACTTGAAGTCACTGAAGTCGTGCTCCAGGCTGATGCTCCCACTGAGTTTCTCCTGTCTCTTGCCCTCGAGATACTCATTCAACTCAGCTCTAGTCCCATTGTCCCAGATGAGGTAAGGATTCGAGCAATTCGAATTGAGTGTCTTGAGGATCTCTTCAGGCTTGTCTTTGGACAGCTGTCTCGCGAGATAGGGAGTGAGAAGACTCTCGAGAGCAGCAACAGTCACTGGATTCACTGGTGTCTCATTATCTCCAGTCATGTAACCTCCGAGTTTAGCACAAGCTTTAACTGCTAGTTTAGCAAGATTATTAGCAACTTCTTGTCTGTTCTCTTCTTGACTTCTCTCCACTCCGCCCTCCTCCAGAGTGTAATCATAATTAAACATGAATAAAAGTAGGTGCCAGAGTGCTCCGGACTGGAGCAACTGCATCTGGAGAATGCTGTCAGTTGCTAGAGAGGATACACACTCAGTGGCAACTGAACACAATTTAGTCAAATGCTTGAAATGCAAAATTCTGCAGAGATCCTTGATCAACTGTGGCAGCTCCACAATTTTATCCCTACATCCCCGGAATTTACCAGCAACAGCAAAGCACCTGGTGATGTGAGTGCAAACTTGAACCGCGACTTCGTTCGATTTGCTCGAGTTACTCAGCACGGAGACACACCTGGTGTACGCCTCCAGGAGGACCTCGAGGCCACCCTCACGCCTCAGCTCCTCGGCATTGAGTGCCGAGCAGTGAACAGTGTGATAACAGAGTTCTGCAGCTGCTGACAGCAGCGGAGCTGCCTTCGAGAACAATCTGTCGTCCTCAGTCTCCAGTTTAATTGTCTTAATCAATTGTGGATAGCCTGCGTACTTGTACGGTCTCAACTCCTCGGTGTACCTGTCGAAGAGAATACTCTGGGTCCTCAAGATTAGCACGATATTGTCAGGATTGGGCCCATCTGTCGTCCAGCAGCTTCTGCTGCACAGAAATTCGTAGGCTTGATTCACAGCCTCGAATCTGTCTCTGCCCTCTGGATTCTTGTCCGGATGGTATTTCTGGGCGAGTTTGTAGTAGGATTTACGAACATCTGCCTCGTTATGCTGTTGTCCTGTCTGCAGACCCAGCACTCTGTACGCTTCGTCCACAGTCATTATCGGAGGCTTCTTTTCGACTTCTTTCTTCCAGGCATCGAGAACATCCTTGAGTAAATGCACAGGCTCTGGAATCGGCCAGTTGGGAAATTTAACAGTGTCACAGAGATGTCGAAGATAAAATATCTGACAGAAGAGCTCTTTCTCCAGTTGGGGATAACGAACAGCTGGTATTGCTATGTACTGGTACCTTGCCATCGTGTGGCTTCGTAATCTTGGTGAGAAGTCGGCAATGTGTGCTGCCACCTTCTCAATCAACATCCTTCTCATCTCGGCATTCCAAATTGCCTCTGGGGTATCGTAATCACCGAGGAATATTTGTGCGAATTTTTCAGCTCCATGATTCTCCAGGTAACTGACCATTGCATCTGGAAGTAGTGGACCAAGAATACTTCTCTGCATGATGTCAGGGGGAGTATTATCATCTCCCCTAAATGCTTGTTTTGTGTGAGTGAACTGGAGGAAACGAGCGATTGGAAGGACATTGGAGCCAGTGTACATGAGAATAAAATAGAAAACACCTGTCAGGTATATCTTCGATACATCAGGGTTATCCTTCATGATTTCACAGAGGAGAGTTGCCACTCTCTCCACCAGGACTGGATCAAAAGTGAGAAGAAGCTGGACAACGTGAGGGAGGCACTGCAGATCTGACAGGAGTCGTTTTACCCTGGGGAGGGGACGGATCACTGCATTGTCGGCGTCTCTACTGGGATAGTACTCGCACATTTGAATCAAAATATTCAAGATGAGTGTGGCAAGATCACTCTCATTCACTACTGGAGTCCCTCTAGCCACCAGGGTCCACTTCAATTGAGGTACCTGGGAGATCATTCTCCAACCATCCAATCCCTGCGCCCAAACTTTTGTCTTGTGATTTACTTTTCCAGATGTATACAAGTCCTTCAGCTCTTTGAGACTGACGGGACCGGCTCGATGATCTCCGTCGTTGTAATACCACTCTCTCTCCATTACTCTTTCCTGCTCAGGACCTGCCTCGATGACATTTGTCTGTGTTGGAACAACTGCTCGAGATGTGTGCAGGTGCGCCAGGGCCAGGATATCCACCAGTGCTCGAACTCCATTCTGATCCATTATATCTTTGACGTTTTTTCGGTGAAGTATGAGTTTGTGGATGAACATGACAAGCCTGTCACGCTCAGCCCTGTCTGTACAACGCTCCAGCATACCAACGATGTACTTTGTGTCGGAGAAGGGGCCAATGTCCTCGTAATAGCGGCCATAAACAATCGTCATAGCTTGCAGGCAAAGGCACTTCATTTCTACTTTAGTCGTTAACAGAAATCGGTGATAAAGATCATTGAAAAATTCATAGGATTTGCGGATTGGGCTGTCAGGGCAGTCCTTCTCCAGAAGAAGTCTCAGATAGTAATCCCCGATTTTTACTTCATCCGAGAGACACTGATACTGGACCTCGAATTCTCGATGATTCCAGGCTATCAGTGTGCCACCTGAGAGATCTTTGTCAGCAGTGAATGCACGAATTTCGTTTTCCAGAGCTGTTCGCAGCTCCTCTCGGGTCTTGTGATTCCAGATGAGATTTGGCATCGAGTGGTCTTGATTGAATTTGTAGTAGAAGAGCTTCCAGTTTGCCTCGGACTTTATTCTCTCTCGACGTTTACGAAGAACGAGTTGACGTTCCTTGATCTTCTCTCGTCTTTCGATACCCACCCGTGCCCCCCAGTGCTGGAGAGCGTTCTCCAGGTGTTTCTCGACGACCCGCATCTGACGCTCAATTGCCATCCACTGGGGACCACGCTTGTGCTTTGAGGCATGATCGATTGCCATTTTTAAATTGTCCCGGTTGTTCAGGCGCTCTTCTTCGAGGAAAGAGTCTGGGACTTTCTCCTCGGAATCGAGGTATGTGAGAAGACCCACTGGAAGGATTCGTTTGAGGAGACCCATTGCTGTGGGATAACCAGTGACCCAGAGACCCACCAGGTGTCTGCAGAGTTGTCTGTGGGTGAGCAACCTACCATCGCTACTAACTGTGAACAAACTGTTGAGGAGGTGCCGAGGTAGAGCTCCTTCTGCAAGAGCTAGCTCCTGCATCTTTGCAGCCACTTCCGCAGCACCTTCTTCTATTATTGCTCGCATTATAAGGCCTGCGCCTTTAACTACTGCTAGGGAGGGGTGTTGGAAGAGCTTGAAGAGGGAGCGCCCGCGGGCTGCAACCATCTCCAGAAGATTATCAAAGTGTTTGCCATCGGTTGTCTCGCTGTATGGCACGCACAAGGCGAACGTTAATAAATCCAGCATGGCGGATACTACCAGAGCTCCTGTCCCATGATTCTGCAATTGAAGAGTCAACGATAAAAAGTTAACAAAATTACTATTAATAGCTCCCTGAATCCATTGAATAATATATGTAAAAATGATTATATACTCACAACATGACCAATCCACATATCCAGCAAACTTTCCAAAAACTTATTACTACTGAGCAAACTGCTCTTATTCAATTGCTCCTGCCTCAAATCACAGTCATCATGCATTGCCTGCATGAGAGCACAGATGCAATCGATGGCTGCCTGAGCAACTCCGCAATCCTGTCTCTTCAAAGCCTTAACAACTTTATTTCCGATAGACTCCCGAAAGCCAGGCAACGTTGTGAACGCCATGAAGCCAACTTTGCTTGCCACCAATCTTCTCAGAGCGTGAAACTGCGCCTCGACTTCTGCATTCGTCTCCAGCTCTTTACTCACCAATGAGCTCAACGCACCCAGGATTATTTTATCCTTATTCTCGGTGAATAACCCCTGCAAGTAGTTATTCATCACCCTGTGTACACCTAGTTGCATTGTCGTAACAGTCCATTCAAGCGGTTTGCAAACCTGGACAAACATTATTCAAAAAAAAAGAGAGAAAAAAACGAACATTGCTTTTCATCGAGAAAAAGAAAATCTGGGGTTTGAAGCAATTGAACCGCTCAAATGGAATGACATGCCCATGGAGATCCAAGTATTGTCTCAATTTTGAAGAACGAAATTTTTCATTTTTTTCGGAGATTCAGTTAAATATTGAATGCTGTTGAGATTAACTCAGCGAGTTCTATTTGAAATAAAAAGATGATGTGTAATAATTAGATATATACGACTTAAACATAATTTATATAATTACCAAAATCTCCGAACCGACTTGGATCTCCCAAAACAAAATAAAATCTTACATCTTGAGTAACAGAATAGTGAAGTCCACTGTACGGTACGTTAGCATTGAACCTCTCCAGAATTTCAGCAAAGGTTCTACCACCAGGTGGTTGTTGTATAAATTTGACATGTGACGTCTCGACCTCTTCATCAACAGGTAAATTCAGCGGTCCCAGTCTCTTACCCCGCGCAATGGGACTCATCTTCACGTGTACATCACGATTGCCAGACGCCCTGACCCCATCCAGCAGACTGGCCAGTAAAGAATCACGATCAGTGGCCATGTAACTCCTCATCTGTCCATTCAGGTACTGAATAGTAAATAATTGGGGATTGGCATTATCCCTGACCAGAGCGAATATGTCAGAGAGAGGTCTGAGGGTGCAGATGTTGTAGGTCTGTGGATCTCTCTCGAGGAGACAAGTATCCGACAGGCAAAGTGTTCTCCTCTGTGGGTCCGAGTGTCTAGAGGATATTTTATGTACAGTGAACTCAGAGACACTTGTTATGTGCTCGTCCCCACTGAACCTACCGAACCTCTGGACAAGAAATTCGTCCAATGGGACTGTCTCCTTCAGAACTTTTATCATAACACCGAGGTTCATTTGCGCTGACTCCACGATCTTACGTTTTATCTCGTCGATGTGTTGGGATGCGAAGAGATGGAGACGACCAAAACCACCGCATACTATCACAAAACCATCGGTGTAATCACGCATTGTTCCAATTCCTTCCATGTCCTTGTAGTAATAACTCGCGAGGATGACGTTTGTCGCTGGGTCCAGCTGATCCAGGCTGTAAGGCGTTATCTCCAGAACCACTGGAAGCCTCGTGTCTGACCAGTGGTGCTTGTAGGCTGGATATCTCTACAAATTGAAAATAGAAATTGAGGAGAGGCGCGACTATAACAAGAGCAAGTATAACGCCAAATTCTACTGTATCGGAAAAAGTAATCTACATTAAAATAAAGATCTTCAGTCATCTTCAATAGAATACAAATCATAAAATCAACAAAAATTTACTCGCAAGCAATAAATTCTGATTTTTCAATTTTTCAATTTTATTAAATATCAATGAAAATATAAAAAATACTCTTTCATCGGCAATTTAATGAGCTACAAAAAAAATTCTTTAATGCTCCCCTCTGAAATCAATAATACTTCAGATAAATCGATAATTCTAATATTCCGTAAAAGGTTTGACTCGCCTTATCTCACTCAATCGTTTGACTACTAAATTATCTTCAATTGATCGTTTTAATAACAATGTCCACCTAATCATCGTAACGAGCCACATGTTGACCGATACAGGCTTATCACAAATTAAAAAAAGAATGAACAACTCACTAGTATCTCTCTCGGCTTTTCAGCGAACTGGTTACGGAATCTGAGGGCCTCGGTCAGCAAATGTGATCTGTGCTCTGAGCTGAATTTCATCGTATCAACTTTCCTCTCTTTTCTCATTGTAATACTAAACTCGTAGAGTCCAATTTGATTTCTATTTGTCGGCTGTACACTAATGAAATCCGCATACTCCCACTTGTTAGTCACTTCTAGATTGCTGGGATTATAAGTTGTTATGCCCATTGATCCAATGGAGAAAATACGTTTATATCTGGAATAATTGACGAAGAAAAATGAGGGTGACAATAAATTGAGGACAACGAATAATCCAACAATCCCCCAATAATTCAACAATCCCCCAATTTCCAACCGAGAGCTCTTTCCAAATGTCAAGTATTCAAGTATTTGGATTAGCCTGAAAATACTCACTTTCCCTTCCACGAGTGCTTCGTGACCAGGAAACACGCGACATCCTGATTATCCTTGATCGGCATCATTGTCTCATGTCAAACATTAATCGTTACGAATAGTATATCACCTGCACGATCTCCTTAAGAATAACAACTTCAATCTGCATCTGTCAAGTAACAAACTCACACCACTTGCACGTTGACTCATGCAGCAGCAACGATGATCTATCGATCATTCAGACTGACTGCTGATAGTTCGCCAATTATGGGTTTATGAAGATTATTGATAATTGCAGGATTATGTATTTGATTGTTACAACAATGTAGTTTACAGTGTAAATAGAGTAACCAACGGCTTCGATGTCCTGGGAGCGGCCATGATGCCTGGGGGTGTCATCGGTCAGCTGTTTTATCAGAATGTCACCAGAGGACTTATCATAAGAGTAAACTTTTTTTTAAATATATTCCCCTAGCAACAAATTGATTTTTCTTTCCTGAGGATTTACTCATTTCAGCACGATTTTTCAAACAATGAGGAAAAATATTAAATAGTTTTCCCTTCAATTACTTTAAAATTATTTATGCCTTAATGAGAGAATACCTCATTGTCTTTTCCACAGTATGAAAATAATTACTCGACTATTTATGGGAGTATTGAAGCTTTATTAGCCCTCAGAATGCATAGAAAATTATATATAAAAGCTTGACAGAGATGTGGAGTAATTTAATTAGGCTTTATTCATATTCTCCTTCTGCTTCTTTTGCTTCTTCGTCTCGGCTTCCTCGATCGGTGCAGGTTTGACGAATGGAATTTCCTCTTGGTACTGCAGTGGCATGAATGCCGAAATTGCTTTCGGCACTTTTATCCCAGTCTCTGTTTGATGCACCTCGAGGACCGCACAAATAACTCGAGTTACTGCACACATTGTTGCATTCAACATGTGAACGTAATCGACGGAGGCATTCATTTTCTTAGTCTGCCCATATCTGACTAGAAGCCGTCTAGCTTGATAATCAAGACAATTACTACAGGACACTAGTTCACGAAAAGCTGCGGAGCCTGGAAACCAAGCCTCCAGATCGAGTTTCTTCGATGCAGCGTGATTCAATGCACCGGATACAATATTCACAATTCGATACGGAATATTGAGGTCTTGATAAAATTCCTCAGCATTTTTTATCATCTCATTCATCATCTCCCAGGATTTATTATCGTGAGGCGAGGTAATGCAGAACTGTTCTACCTTCTCGAATTGATGCACCCTGAAGATGCCCCTAGTATCTCTCCCATGAGACCCAACTTCCTGCCTGAAACACGTCGAGAGTCCAGCGTACCTGATGGGCAATGACGCCTCTGGGATCCACTCATTACGATGAAATGCCGCAATTGGTTGCTCGGATGTGGCTATTAAGTATTTCTCCTCAGACTCTTTCTCATCAGCTTTCTCACTTCCTTTACCGATCACCTTGTACAACTCCTCATCGAACTGAGCTAGTTGAGCCACCTCTTGCATAGCGTCTTTCTTCATGAAGAATGGAGTGTAAAGGGGCTTGTATCCATTATCAAATAATTTCCTCAGGGCATATTGGATCAGCGCGTGCTCCAAAAAGACAGCGGGTCCTGTGAGAAAATATCCTCGAGCACCAGCCACTGCTGCCCCTCGTTCAGCATCCATTCCGTCTATCATGTGGATTAAATCGACGTGAGAGTATTTTTTCCTCTCGGTGCAGTCGCCGAATGTTCGCTCCACCTCGAATTATCAATCAAATATTTTTTTTAATAGAATATTTACTAGTGAATCAATAACTAAATACTAAAAAAAGAGTATTTGGGTTTAAAAATTCTCTACATCCAATCAATTACCGTATATTCAATAAAATCAATGACATGAATGAACAATAAATAATTTAGATATAGTTATAGATAAATCGTTCGCAATTCGTGCAATACCTTATTCTCATCCTCGTCATTGCTCACAGGTACACTAGGATCCAGATGATTCCCAACTTCTCTGAGTGCCGAATTCCTCTCTCCCTCGATCTTTATCAAATTGTCATTGTTGTTAACAATTGCATCATCAATGAGACCACGAATGGCTTTGATCTGAGTGACGGTCAGGGGTTTCAGGTTATCCGAGGTGATTCCATCGAGATTACCACTGATATCATCCGGAACTGTTGTGTCCTCACCGATTGGCTCTTTCTTCTTCATTTTCTCACCGATTTCCTTGCTACATAAATTCTTGAGCTTATTAAAATTATCGGCTCGGTGTCGCAATTGCCGCCAGGTTTTATCCTTCTCGATGACGGTCTCCACGAGCCCAACATCTTTGAAACGTTTTGTTTGATTTTCCCGGATTTTATTCGGATCGAAACCCTTGTCGTCGCGAAACAGATCGAGATCGAGCACCATTTTGGTAAAAATGTGGGATTATTGTTATTAATTAATTACAGTGGACTATCAAGTCAATCAATCTGACAGGAGTTGCAACCAACGTGTTCACTGCCACATGGAGACTAGTGTTACAAGATGCGGTATCGATACTTTCTGGTATCGATATTTATCGACATTAATTACAATCGAATAATCTTATTTCGATATTTTTTTAGCGATTGGGACAAAATCCCTTGTATATATTCTTTGTAAAAATAATATTATTTGGAAAAATAGTAAATAATGCAATGATTGTATTGTTTTTTTAATGTATTCTTGTGCTTTTATTGATAATTCCATTACTGTTACATATTCGATAATTTCGTTTATAAAATCTGTCGCTTTGTATCACTCAAAATTTTTTCTCTCTATCTCCAGATATTAATCGATTGCCTGAAGGCCTGTGTAAGAATAATAACGAAAAAATATCGAAGAAGCTCGGGTTTTTTGCCATTACTCATTCAAATCTCCCGCGGATCATCCGCGGATCACCCGCAAATCATGCGCAACCAATGAAAGGCCTCTGATCTGAAACTGTACAGTGCGTCGGTGATTGAATTGTCAAGTGAATTTTTAGAATCAATGAAGAACACTCACTCCAATAGCTGATATTTATCTCTAATTAAAACGTTAACAATGATGGATTACGAATTTAAAATAAAAACACAGAAAGATAGGACTAAAGTTGAGGATTTATTTGAATTCGAGGGGTGTAAAGTTGGACGAGGCACTTATGGACACGTCTACAAAGCGAGACGGAAAGAGGGGTTAGGTTTTTTTGACAACTTTTGTTTATTAATCCCACGGGAATAAATATATCCCTTCGTAATCCCCATTTTTTTTATCTCGAAATATTGTTTTCCCACTTATAGCCACCATCGGCCATCCAGAAAACAGTTTTTCACAGCTTCCACTGAGTTGAGAAATGATCTCACAATCCTGATGAACAATCTGTCATACAGGAATGTCATTTGGTTAATCAATTTCAGATGAAATATTCTCATTAATTTTTTTTACTAAAACTAGAGCGAGAGGAGTTATGTACTTGGGGAAAATTCTTGTCCAATGTTTTGGGACTGATCTCAGAGTAATGATAACAGAATATTTCATCGTATTTTTAGGATTCCAGATGCAGAGTTCAAATCTAGGCCAGACACGAAAGATTTCGGTCTCAAACAAATTGAGGGAACTGGACTGTCTATGTCAGCATGTCGTGAGATAGCAGTGAGTTATTCTTCATTTTATTTAATATTAAATTGCTGCATAGGAGACATTTTTCGAGGTGTCGGTAGTTCCTAGACTGGCTCACGGAATTATATAATTTTCCCTTCAAAAAGTCTTGGTCATCTTTGTAGAAAATATTTCAGGCCACCCCTCCTTTCAAAAACTGAATATTTTTACATAATCTAAAATATCAATTTTACCTCAATCAATTGGAATTTTAATTCACTGATTTTATTTTTCAGTTACTCAGGGAATTGAAGCATATCAATGTAATAACACTAATTCGTGTGTTTCTCTCTCACAACGATCGTAAGGTGTCTCTCCTTTTTGATTTCGCCGAGCATGACTTATGGGTAAAATTATTGAATAACTATTTATTTATCTGTTTATCAATGGAAGTATTGATCCTTGATTCTGCTCCACAGCATATAATAAAGTTTCACAGAGCAGCTAAAGCAAATAAGAAACCAGTGATGGTGCCTAAGGGAATGGTAAAATCATTGCTGTATCAAATATTGAATGGTATACATTATCTACATTCCAATTGGGTTCTCCATCGAGATTTGGTAAGTCACCTGTAAAAGAGAGAAAGCAGAAGAGACCTCTCAAACAAGTTTTCCTTCTGCGGAATAGAATGAATATATTTATGTAGTTGAAAGGAAGATAATTATTCGTGTTTAAAACTTATTTTTCTTTTGCAGAAACCAGCGAATATTTTGGTAATGGGAGAGGGAAACGAGAGGGGTCGTGTAAAAATAGCTGATATGGGATTTGCAAGATTATTCAATGCTCCACTGAAACCTCTAGCTGACCTCGATCCTGTCGTGGTGACATTCTGGTACAGAGCACCAGAATTGCTACTAGGGGCGAGACATTATACGAAAGCAATTGGTACGAATTTCTTTACGTCAATCATTTGTTCAAGTGTTCCGGCAGCTTCTCACGATGGAGTAATTTTTTATTTTCATTTTTTTTCAGATATATGGGCAATAGGATGTATATTTGCAGAACTACTAACTGCCGAACCAATTTTCCACTGCAGACAAGAGGACATTAAAACCAGTAATCCTTATCATCACGAACAATTAGACCGGTAAGTTGTTGTGGAAATGGAGAATCTAATTATTCAGAAGAAAATAGGGAGTAAAGAACAGGTTTATGAAGGTTTTTTCTAATTAATTACGTGATTTTTTATTTACAGAATATTTAATGTCATGGGTTTTCCACTGGAGAAAGACTGGGAAGATATTAAGAAAATGCCAGAACACCCTACATTACTTAAAGACTTTAAAAGATCGAAGTGAGTAATTAAAAATTAGAGATATTGACTGAAAATCAATTGTTATTTTATGTTGAGTAATGTGTTATTTGGTTTACAGTTATGCCAATTGTTCGTTAACGAAATATATGGATCGGCATAAGATAAAACCTGATAGTAAAGCATTTAATCTGGTGAGTTCTGGTGAGGGAATTTAGCTGAAGAATTATGGCGGACTTATAAAATTTTCTTCACATTTCAGTTACAAAAATTACTGATGATGGATCCGAATAAGCGAATAACCTCCGAGCACTCAATGCAAGACGCTTACTTCCAAGAGGAACCACTGCCAACTCAAGAGTAAGTACTATATCGCATATTAAATCAGTTCTCGAAGAAATCGTCGTGAAAACTAAATGAATTGTCGAATGGTCTAGCATTTTTGCTGGTTGTCCTATTCCCTATCCAAAGAGGGAATTCTTGACTGACGACGATACGGAGGAGAAAACCGAGAATAAAGCTCGACAGAATCAGCAGCAAACGGTAATTAATGATGAAAATAAATTGAAAGATTGATAATTGTAACTGCGAGTGAATGATCAAATATTTTCCAAAAATAGCAACAGCAACCGACTCAGCCACAACAGGGTAATAGTGAACACAGTCACGGTCAAAATCCAAAACGAGTACGACTGAATGGTCCTCATGGTGCACCGGAGTTCCATCAACATCAGACTCACACAATGACTCATCAACAGCCACCTGGTATGGTTTATTCAACTGCACAGTCAGCCCAACCAGCCAACTTCCATCAGCGTTACTAGTCGGCCAATCTAGTTATTGATTTATAAAAGTCTGAACCATTAAACAACGGGAATGAATAAACAATGTCGTACCACGCCTCTTGAAAAACAATTACTGCATTGTTCAATTGAATCATATGAATTTAAAAATTACCTCAATTGCTCTGACCCCTTCACAAGTATTTCTGTCTAATTAGTACTAATTCTCATTATAAATTAATAGAATTATAAAATTGCGAAGAAAATCGACGAACTTCCATTCAAAAAATTTTATTATTTTATTATTATTTAATATTTCACCATTACAAATTACATAATTCAAAATTAACGAAATTTTCCATCAAAATCAATCAATTGGTGATAATAAATATTATTAATATCCCATCCAAATGGGCCCAATTTCCTCTCCCTCAAAGAGACTCTGAACGAATGAATAATGAATAGATCGAATCAGTGAAAAAATTCACGACGCGTCAGACTTCCAACAGCTGAATTCACCGGTCGCGTCAATAACGTCATTCCCACTCATCAAGATGACCATTTATCGTATTGTCTGTACACATCCGCGATGACGACGTCCACTGCATAAACATTCACGAGAGATGTGCACGTGCACCGAGACATTTCAATCTCCATTGCAATTAATCATCAACCCCAGTGGATGATTAATCCTCCCCCTCCTGGGCACCGAAAAAAAAACCCCAAAAATTCATTGAAAAAAAAAAACACTCGCTAAATTTGGTGCGTGCGCTCATGGCGCAAATGGGCCTCAAAGTCCCACAGCTATCCAGGAGTGGGAGTTGTTGGGACACGCGATAAGTCCCAATAGTGGGAGCAACAGCGCTTGCGCAAAGACGTAAGCGCGCATTACATTCTCAATTGCTCTCTTCGTGTGTTCTCCACCCGTTGTCTTTCGCGCTCTTGAAACGCAGTTTCCGCAATTACATCCAAAGGAATTGTGATAGTGCTCTGTAATGTTTCGTTAAATAATCAATTGCCAGCGTGATCGAATGGGTGAATAGATGGAGAAGATGAAAAACCAGTGACCAGGTGAGATTTTTCAAAATAATTTTATTCAATCCCTCAGCATGCGCGCAATTCATGACTCTCGCATTAAAATTGTTAATTAATTCAGTTAATAACGAGGAATAAACAAACTCGCCATTTTTACGTCGAATTTTTTCCGTCAATTTTTTATTTTAGTGGAGAATTTTCACATTCACACGTGCGTAAATAATTGATGGATAAAGGAGTTTTGAATCTTCGAATATAAATCGTCACCGAGAATACGAAAATTCCATTCATTCACACGATTCCCTTTCTCTTTAAATGTTACCATAGAATTATGCACTCGTGTGCATAGATAATGACGCAGATTTTTTTCTCATCAACAACTTGACTCCATTCATCCATTTTTTTAATGGATTTATGACATTGTGGGTTTAATGACGAGTGGAAGTTGATGATTAATTCTTAACTCCGTGAACATAACAAACTGTTATGTTTCATTAGAATAGCTAAAACGCGAGACTAATTGCACTTCTCCATCAGTAATTAAACTACCCCCAGAAAAATATTTCATCCAATTAATAATAATTAATCATAATTAATTATAATCCATCACAATGCGTCATCGTAAAAAAAAACGAGAAATCCTTTGCACTCCTTCAAATTTCTCAGTCTTCATTATTTATTTAACTAACAATTCCCACCCTAAAAATTAATTCCGATACTTTCATTGAGAATTTGAAAAGTCAATTTTAAATCATCTACTAGCTCGTGCCGAAAATGAAATAAATCATTTAATTTAACTAAACATCCTTTGATAAATAATCGTTAATTAATGAATATTGGTAAATGAAACGTGCGTTGTGAAGGAGTTGATGAAATGGGAGGTGGACGATTGATTTAGAAAGTCTGTTGTATTGATGAAAAATCGACCTTGGATTCTTCCTTCGCGCGTTATTGATTATTTGAAACCAGGAATCAATCGAAATGATTATATAAAAGTAAATAAAGACGGTGATGATGATTGGTATGAATGAAGAAAGATACTAATAGGGAGGGCATGAATTGGCCGAGGTCAGGAGGTGGGGTAAAAGAGAAGGTGGTTTGGGCGAGGATTCGCTCCTGACCACGAGATCCTCAGGCTTGGGGCCAGCCAAGGGACCATGACCACCTTGTCACAAGGTAATCTACAACACACCACGTCCTCTTCCATCTCTCTCGCTTTTCCTTACCCAAACAAGGGATGGTTCACATACATACGCCACACGGCCTCGTTCATATAATGCCACCATTATCCTTACCATCCCGATCATGCTCTTCTCATTTTTCACTGATTTATCTTCAAAATATCTCGTCTGCCATTTGATTTTTCTCTCCGAAGAAGACAAACTATTTCACTCCATTCTACGATTTTCCTGTTTTCATTAAAATATAAATTAATTATCCAAGATAAAATAAAAAAATAATAATAATAGTAGAGTCTGTTAAAATGGGGTGGGGATAATGGAAATTGTTCATTTTCTGAAAATCTTATGGTTTGACTATTTATTTTCATTGTTTTGCAAATGAAAATAAAATAAACAATTTTCATTATTTTGCAAATGAAAATAAAATAAACAATTTTCATTGTTTTGCAAATGAAAATAAAATAAACAATTTTCATTGTTTTGCAAATGAAAAAAAATAAATAATTTCATTTGAAGATCGAAATGTATGGTTTGACTATTTATTTAACCTTTTCTTTTTCGTCGTTGTTTATTTTTATATGAGTCGTCTATATATTTTATTCAAGTTGATTGTTAGCTACAGTGACTACTGGAGGTTTGAATGATCCCGTGTTTGTTGCACTTTCACTCCCCATCAGTGATGATTTCCTTCGTGTTATGGGTAATTCTGGTGAGTTGGGTCGAGGATAAACTGAAATTAAATGGTTTCTGATGACTGAGCACACGTGGGACGTTACGATGCTCTCATAATTTTTTATCACTGATTTCTCGTTCCCTGATTGTGACGAAGTTATGGATCTAACTTGGATGATGATCCCTGATTAATCCACTCCAACGATCAATTCTCCAGGTCTCCTCATGTTTTCTCAATTCTCCAGCAACATTAATAACAATATTCATTTAACACTCGTGATATTCCAAATAGCTTTCAATCAATTGTGTGACGTGATTGGGATGTACATCATCAACAACCGGTTTTACATATTTATCTCGCAATTACGGTGGACATGATTGAAACATCATGCAATGTATTTGCCTATTGGTGACAATTTTTCCGGGATAAATCCGTCGCTATTTATCGGTGTCAATGGTGAGATTAGGGAATTAAAATTATTAAAAATAATGTTGTGAAGAGGAAACACATTTGTAGTTAGTCAAAGTGCAAACGAAAATTGAAACGCGTGACAGACAAAGACACGACACGCGAGGTCAACTAGCTGCCCGATATGGTATCCATCCTCCAGCCTTTGAGTGTCGTTATATATATGTATATATTAACGTTTTGTATATACCTTCAGTTACTACCTACGATTAGTATTAACCAGCATTGAATTTAAATGCTATTTCGAATTATATACGACCGTATCGAGTGCCGAATGATTCTTCTCCATCGAAATGACCTTTCGCATGTGCCGAATTCAATCGATTATTATTATTATTATTATTATTATTATTATTATTGTTTTATTCGACATCATCAAGAATTCCGTACAAATGCGTGGACGGCAATAGTTTTTGTCGTAAAAGGCGAATTGTATTTTAGAATTGGAATTTTTGGGTGAATTCTGTGGGCGGAATTTCAAAATTTTTATCGATTTGGTATTTCAAGGAATATCTGTACGTGATTCGGAATGTTTTTAGTCAGTCGGAGGGAATTCTGGAATTAGAATTGAATTATGATTGAGAGGTCAAGTGAAGACGAGGTTGATTTCAAGTATTGAGATAGTGATTCGTGATTTTTGAAACGTCAGCTGTAACTGAAAGAATTAAATGGCGAGTTTCGGTTTTATTTCGTTATTTCTCTGGACTTTGAAGGATTGATTATTTAAATAGTATTGGATAAGAATGAAATGGGTAGTGAGTTTAATATGACTCCTCAGGGCGACAACTCAGGTTTTCTAGATCTGATTTTTTAAATAAACAATAGAATATTTTCATGGAGCGTATGACGCGTGAGATAAATAATAATTTGTATAAATAATAGTTGGACTATCCAGAATAATGTATTACCCAAGTGAATACCAATGATTAAGCAGATCTGATGATTTCCAAAATTGACAGCAGAATATTTTCAGGAATGAAGTGTACGATCCGTGGAATAAATAATAATTTGTATCAATAATAGTTTTACTATCCAAAATAATGTATTACTCATGTGAATACCAATGATTGAGCAGATCTGATGATTTCTAAAATTGAAAGCAGAGAATTTTTATGAAGGAAGTGTACGATTCGTGAAATAAATTGAATTTCTTTAAAAAAATAGTTTAGTTTGAAATAATGTATTGAACAAATGAATACCCGGAAATAGCAGAGATAACGGTGTTCCTATTATTCCGTACAAACATGGAATTTCAAATGCCCCGTGAGTCATCCAAAGGAAACACATGGACTTGTATTCCATGAAACCGAAGAAAAGAGTTGTTTGAATTCACAAGTGGCCCAATATGCTTGTCCAAGGGCCCAGCTGCATGGATTTCTTTAATACATTCCCCACAAGTGAAGGATTCTATTTTTAAACGTGAGACTCGTTACTCCATGCACATGGTGACTCAATACCGCAGACAGTTGTTATTTTCTTTCATTTTTCCATTAAATTTTTCATCGTAGCATTCAATAAATATTGACAAGTCAACAGGTCCCAGTTTATCGGTGGATTCATTGATTTTCTACTGGGCCCTATCGTGTTACAGTTACTCTCTGTACCGATGTTTTTCTTCCTTGTGTTCTTGGAATTTTCGCGTAGGATAATTAATTAGTAGAACAATCTATTTAATGAGCGCACGTGACGACGCATTCCGCGTTTTTATCGATAACTTGATGGTGTGGGCACTTGATATGCATTCGATTCGATAGATCGTATCATCAATTTGCATCATGAATTCCAGTCAAATTGATATCCAATTAGATTTAACTAGGGATTCGAGGCAATTCAGGGAATGATCACAGAAAATTCCATTGGAAATCTCATTAATCTGCAGTTGATTTATTTAACTTTATACATTTGTTGTAAAATTTTTAAGTTTTTTATGGGGAATTAGGTAATCCATAGGAATTAGCAAAAAATCTCCAACAAATTAATTGAACTTCTAAAAAGATAGTTACGAAAAACGAGAAATTTTGTTGACGTAACTTTAAATTAGGATTCGATTTTATTTTGAAATTATTGTGAATGATTTTGTTTTCTATTTTTTTCTGTTGCTTGAAACGGTTCGAGAAAGTGTTGTTTTTTATTTATACTGGTTTACCACTTCTCTGTGGAATTTGCAAATCAAGGATATTGGTTGATCAAACAAAAAACATGTTGTGTTGACTTAACTTCGGTTTTGAATAATTTTCCTCAGCTTCTGTTGACATAGGAATGAATTTAGTTCAGAATTGCTACTCAAACCGTTTCGCAATCCCAAAAAGTCACTAAATATTTTTCAAGGCCTAAATCACAAATCACATCTGCAACAAGTGCATCGCGTCCTTAAAAGTTTATTAACATAAAGCAACAATATTTTTTTGAAAATTCATTCATTTCACTTCACCAATTACTGTCTCAATAAATATTTATTATAATTCATAATTGAAGTTCTTTTCAATGCAAATTTTTTAGCGCAGATCTATAATCTTTCAACTCTATTTTCGATTTTCAAAAAGAACAAAAAACAATAATTTCTGTTGACAGAGTGGAAAAATTGGAAAATTTTCCCCAAAAAGTTGCTCAACGAAATGACGAGTGTTATTTTTCCTTGAATTTCTCGGTTTTGAGTGCGAAATAATTAAATGAATAGGACAGGTCACAATTCAGTCATGGCCACTCACCCATAATCCCCAAGATGTTTTATGGCTTGGGTATTTGCGTTCGAGGTGAACACCACAGCCATTAATGGGATATTAAACACTCCAGTTCCTTAAATTCGCGAACTTCAGTCTTATTGACTCTAAATTTAGAGTTTTAAAATAGAAGTTTCCGATAGGAATGAGTTGACATGGCGTCTGGTGACCATGATGATATCCCACCCATTCATCAGCAATCATTTGCCTACTGGATGCCACTTCATCTAAAACTTGAAAACAAAAACTAAAACCCAAAATCAAAATGTACTATAAAAATCCCTAAAATGTTAAATGCAAATGACATGTCCCTATTGTTCTTAAATTCAATTCAATTCAAACTCATTCAATCAAAAATGCGAAATGAAGAAATGAAATTTTTATTGAAAATAGGAGATTTGAAGAAATATTTAAGCCCTTTAAAAATATGATACAATAAATTTCTGATGTACGCACTTGCAATGGAAAATACAATTCCATTAATGGAATCCGCTAATTTATTTGACAGATTGGATAGAGTGATTCCACCAATGCGGTCAACATGGACTCCAACGTCGGTCTTGACTACATCGTAGACAATCCTGATTACTGCAGTAAACTCGCTTCAGGTAATTGAGTAAATTGACAAAGCACGTAGGCAAATGAATTTTATTGCCCTCCCCGCAATAAATGTCATTCTCGACGAATGTAATTACAGGTTTACCTGCCGTTGCATTTACCAACCAGTCCATTAATATATTAATTAAACAATCTCTATACAGCTCTAGATACTGCGTGTACAGCAGTCAAGAAGCAAGTGGTGGAATTACTATCAGCACTGTGTGTTTACAGTCACGATGGCCGACAAAGAGCTATCGACACCCTCCATATTTATCAGGTAATTTAAAAAATTCCAGACGTAACTGAAATGAATAATTTTTTTCAAAATTTCAAAACTCTTTGAATTTTTAATTAAGGCCCGGATGGAGTGTCTGGAAAAGATCATTTACTCCGGAATTCGGATTCCTAATTACTTTGGCAATTAATAGTTTTTTTCAATAATTGTTAGCTAGCGTTCTAGCGATTGTCAACAACTAGGCCGCTAGCTAACAATTATCGGAAAAAACGATTAATTGACGGAGTAATTAGAAGTCTCAATTTTGGAGTAAATTATCTTTTCCAGACAGTCCATCCGGGCCTTAATCTAATATATTTTGCTTCAACGTTTGCAATTGGAAATAGTCAATCGAAAATGGTAACTGCAAACTCCTAGACCTTGATCATGTGATAATAAAATATTATAATGTCAGAGTCCTAGCGTTCTAGCGGTTGTCAACAATTAGGCCGCTAGCTAACAATTATCGGAAAAAACGATTAATTGACGGAGTAATTAGAAGTCTCTATTTTGGAGTAAATTATCTTTTCCAGGCAGTCCATCCGGGCCTTAATCTAATATATTTTGCTTCAACGTTTGCAATTGGAAATAGTCAATCGAAAATGGTAACTGCAAACTCCTAGACCTTGATCATGTGATAATAAAATATTATAATGTCAGAGTCGTCATGAGTCAAGTCCAATCTCTCGTGATTGAAGAATGGAGCAGTTTCTATTTCAAAAAATCACCCAGAAGAAATTGATTGGAGCAAAACCTCTGATTTGTAGTTATCTCAACTCGACATTTCACTCCGAGAAGAAATACATCTCAATTTCCGATGTACCATTGAATAATTCATTGCCTCCGGAGTTGAATTCGCATGCGAATGAAAAACGTTTTATTTATTTCAATCTCAAACGGAAACTTGAAGGATAAATTGAAGACTGTTGTTATGTTGTCCCATAAATTTTTGATAGACGCTTTCCCATCGCGTTTACATCGTCTTCCGTGGAGAAAATATAGAAAAATGTCGATGGAAATTTATGGTGGAATTTCCTGGTGAGTCAGAGGATCTGTTTCTTGTATGGTTTTTTAATTTTTCCAACTTGATGTTGCAGGAACGAAAGGGAGAGCGATATCGACTTCGGGCAATCGTTGATGAGCTCCAGAAGGCAATTGCTGAAGATTATCAAGCAGCATTACTCGCATTCATCAACTGTCTGGTCATCTCAACGCCTGCGGTCAAGGATCGTGTTCGCCTTCGTAATGAGTTCATTGGTAATTCAATTAATTCATCATCCCATCCGAAACCACAAGATCGTCAAATAAAAATTACCAGTTTCTACACAATCATTGGATCATTGGATATTTTCATTCTACTTTATGAATTATTTGATTTATTATTTTTTAGGATTGAAGCTGCTACCAATTTTGAACGACCTCCGGTGAGTTCTACATTGGAATTAAATCATAATATTGAAAATAAAGCTATTAATAATAATAATTAAAAAAAATACTATTACATAATATTATTACGATAAAAATGTTTGTATTGAAGAATCTTCTGGAATTTTCAAAAGAAATCATGTAGATTATTCAGGGAAATTTTCTCTGAAACTTTTACAACATAAGTTCAGATAAATTGCAATGTTTAATTGACGTATGTGAAGGTATGACTCAGCTGTTGATTCGAAAGAGTTAATCATACTTAACAAATGTAAAAGCCACTCGGGCGCCGGTCGCCTCGAAAAATAGAATTCTCGGTGCATTTATTTTTCTTTTTCCCCGCATTCTCAGTAACCATCTAGTTTTCACGGTGAAAAGAGAGGTGTTGATAGAAATTTTGTGGGTAAATGAGAGAGAAAGAGATGCGTGAGGACTGAAATTAACTCACGAGCACCTGCACCTCTGTATGTGAACTCTTCCACTGGAACGAGAAGCAGGCGATGTGATTCTCGATTTATCTTCGACTACCACTAGTTCCTCCCCAATACTAAAGCCCATCGGTACTTTCTTCAGTTTTCTCTTGAGCCCTGAAGAAGCCAGTGCACGCGGTTTTATATCCGACCGATTTTTTCCTGAGAGTGCATCAATTTTCAAAGACTCAGGCATCGTCAATTAGATTTATGAAAAATGATATTGTGTGAGTGGATTTATTTCCCTCAGTATACCCTTTTGTAGAATATTTCTTCATCACCTTGACATGCCACAATTGAAAATCGGTCTATTTTTTAGTGATCGCCGATTGAACAATTCTAATTCATAAGCTCTCATTGCAATTCACGCAATTGTCTTTGCAAAAGCTATAATCCTAAAGAAATTCTTGCAGTTTTGATATTTCCGAGAATACGGTAGGATAAATCGACGATTTTCTCAAGAGAAATTCGAAATCTCATATCTCCTGATAATTTCCCATAAATATCAAATCAGGAAATATTATATCTGTAGGAAATATTCACCTAGTAACTTCTTGACGACATAGAAATTAAAGTCTTCATTCAAGACTCGACTCGAAATTGTGTCCAGGATATTTTTAAACAATATGAGTAATCACTGGAATGAATACAATTGTTGTCCCAGTTCATAAGATGTCGAGGAACTCGAGGAAATGTATATATACCCCCATGTATATATACTCCGAATGATTTTTAATATCTAATAACGGGTCAGAGTCTATATTAATGCAGGTGGTGCACGCCGAAAGTCTTATTGTTACTACAATACGTTTCAGAATATTGACGAAAGGAAAATTAATTAGAATAATAAACCACAAAGTGTGATATATAACTGTAATTGGGAATTTAATTGTAGAAAGCAGAAGAGCCAATTTCCGGATTTACGAGTGCAATTGGATGTATTCGATGATCAACGGGAGACTGACGAAGAACTCACCAATCAGGGACCACCAGGAATCGATCTATCCTCTCACGTCGATGTGTTTTATGCTATTCTCGGTCAAATAGCAGACACACCCCAGGAAATTCCATTCTTGAGTATCCTCCAGCACCTTCTGCGACTAGATCCAAAAGAAGCTGCGAGTGATCTTGCCTGGGATACAGCAGAGACACTGGTGCACAGAGCTACATTATTAGAGAGTCGTGAGGACGTCACCAAGTTATTAAGGTCCCCCAGTCTCCAGACAAATTTGTGTTGTCATTGTCGTGGCACCGATCAATCAAGTACTCCACGAAAATCATCAATACCTGCAGCAAATTCTCCACCTTTTCTGGTATCACCTCCTGTCACGTCGATCCCATCACCACCAGCACCACCAAATCCCTCCTTCATCCTGCCACCACCTCCGCCACCACCCCTTTTCACAAATTGTGGCAATTTTGATGTATCCATGGAACCACCCCTGCCACCACCACTCAGAGTACCAGCGATCAACAGGGCTCCTACCCCAGAACCACCCAGTAATAATGGAAAATTATTACCCCAGCAGGAGATCCCCACCCCTAAGACTAAAATGAAGACTATCAATTGGAATAAAATTCCTAATCACAAGGTCGTGGGGAAGAGAAATATCTGGTCTTTAGTGGCGAACGAGCACCAGAATTCACCGATGGCAGATCTCGACTGGGCAGAGATGGAGGGACTCTTCTGTCAGCAGGTGCCACCAATGATCCCCCAATCGATATCTGCATCGTCCAGCAGTGGAAATGATGCAGATAAACGACGACGAGAGCCAACTGAAATCGTCCTGTTGGATGGCAAGAGGAGTTTGAACGTCAATATTTTCCTGAAACAATTTCGAACTTCAAACGAAGATATTATACAGTTAATCAGGGAAGGGGGACACGACGACATCGGAGCGGAAAAGCTACGGGGACTTCTTAAGATATTGCCAGAGGTCGATGAATTGGAAATGCTTAAGAGTTTCGATGGTGACAAATCCAAACTCGGTAATGCTGAGAAATTTTTCTTGCAGCTCATACAAGTGCCAAATTACAAACTCCGAATAGAGTGTATGCTGTTGAAAGAAGAATTCGCAGCCAACATGAGTTACCTGGAGCCCAGCATAAACTCAATGATCCTCGCTGGAGAGGACTTGATGACGAATAAGCCCCTCCAGGAGATGCTGTATATGGTACTCGTTGCTGGGAATTTTCTTAACTCCGGAGGCTATGCTGGGAATGCCGCTGGTGTTAAATTATCATCCCTCCAGAAGTTGACAGAAATTCGAGCAAACAAACCAGGCATGAATCTCATCCACTACGTCGCCCTCCAGGTGGAGAGAAAACGAAAAGATCTGCTCCACTTCGCCAAGAATATGAGTACACTGGAGGCAGCTGCCAAAACGACTATTGAGCAGTTGATGAATGAGTTCAATACCCTGGATACTAAAATAAAAAAAATTACAACGCAAATTCAACTTCCATCGACTGAAGCTGATATTCAGGAACAAATGGCGCAATTCTTGCTGGTGGCAGAGCAAGGGATGGCTCAGTTGAAACGGGACATGGAGGAGCTGGAGACAGTGAGACATAGTCTAGCTGAGTTCTTCTGTGAAGACGCCAATGCTTTCAAAATCGAGGAATGCTACAGAATATTCCATCAATTCTGTCAGAAATTCAATCAAGCTGTTGCTGAAAATGAGAGGCGAAAGCTCCAGGAGGAGCAGATTAATGCTCGAAGAAAGCAACGGGAGGAGCAGCTCCTGGCGAAGAAACGTCTTCTGAGTAATCAGATGGACATGCCGGGTTCGGAATCCGAGTGCAATTTGATGGATTATGGAGTCCTGGACATACAATCTGGCTTTTCTCGACAACCATACGGTAGGAGTGACGCTAAAATGAAGAGACTGCAGAATGGAGGTGTCACATCTGACGAGGACATCTCAATTACTGGATCACCAAGCATAAGACGACGTCTTGGCTCGTGTTCAGGTGGACCTGACCAGCAAATAACCAAAGAAGATACTTATTCACCGGATGTAACACCCAATGGGACTCTACGTCGAAGGAGAAGTCGAGTGCCTTGTGAGGATGACGATGGAAATTTGATGGACTTCTTGAGGACCAGCAGTGGACAGGAGACCACGAGGGAGAGGAAGTCCTGGGGGAGTTTGGACAGATCGTGGGCAAGAAGGGCAAGGGGACAACCTCGACGTGGAGATCTCCTCAATGCTGATTTCTCGGGTGATCGAGAACGCCCGAGCTCACCTTCACCTCTTGCTGAGACCAAATCGTTTATACAGGCTGAGGAAGACGCTAAACCAACAGGGTATACACAGAATTTTACTATATTTATATTTTTTTTATCTAGCACTGGGATTATTCATTATTTTTGCTTCAGTTATTTATCAATATTTACATGGGTAAATATGTAGTTTTAGAAAGAGGAATTGTTTCAGACGAGCGTGGAGACAGAAGATTGAAGCGTGGCTGTCAGAAAATGAGAAAGAAGAACGAGCTGGTGAGGAACTGCAGAGGAAGGCACGTCAATTGCAAGCCAATCGTAGATCTCTGGAAGATCCTGGTAAGAGGGCAAATTTAGGATTCAAGTTTATTTTAAAGACTTGAGGATGTTCTACACCCATATACAGCCTAAATTCACGTTTTTTAAATTTTTTTACGAATTATCGAGGGGATTGATGTAAAAAAATATAATGTTTTTGCGTTTTGACATTATTTAAAGGCTCACGAAATTTTGTGGTGGTGCAATAATTCATGCATTTTCTCTACAGTTTTGTGATTCTATTTAAAAGTTGAGGAAAAATCAGAAAAATGTTTACACCTATAGAATAGCTTTAACAAGAATTTCATATGTGTTAAGTTCTTGTTAATATTTCTCTTGTTGCAGAAAACGAGGGGAAGATGAATACACTTCAGGACCCATCCCAGTCGAGATACGCGGATGTTTACGACTGGCGTCCCTCAGTGGAGAAAACCGACGTAATGAGAACGATGGCAGCTATTGAAGAAGCTCAGCCTCATCCTCCTCATGTGGACAAATCCTGGAAGAAATCGGTTATGGATACCTCGATCTCCGAAGACAACGATCCGAGATACTCTCGACGGATAAGACCTAGGGCTAATGAGAATGTCCTAGGCCAGAGCACATTGCAGGCGATCCGAGAGGAAGAGCGCAAGAAAAATAAGACCTTGGAGGTTGCCCCTGCCGATGACAACGACGTATTGACGATTTATCTTCGTCAGCCCAGTCTCACTCCAAGCTCTTCCATAAGGAGGTTCTCTAAATCATCCACTAAAAATGACAGGATCACTGATAAAATCGAAATCGACTCCGATAATATCGAAACCCCACCAGTCACTAGACGAGTCTTCAGTCCACCCCGAGAGGTAAAACCCGTCGACAAAGAGCCATGCAAACGCGACAGGTGCAGCAGTTCTCAAGGGCGAGAAATTAAAGTTAATGCTACGAAATCGATAGTTGCTAATAGTGATCTTGGAAGTGGTAACTTCGACAGGTATTCAGCGGCGCGAAAGACGCGGAGATACAAGAAGACTCAAGAAAGCCCATCAGACAAGGAGAACCCCAAGCAGGAGCCCAATCTCGATAACCTGGAGGACAATCCATCTCGTCCAAGCAGTTTATCTCTGATAATCGATAAAACTCCTGAGGAAGACGTGATGTTGCGGGTGTGGCAGGATAAATTGAAACGTCGACACGTATCAAATCCAGAGTCAACCCTCACAGATTCTCCGAAGGACGAACTGAAATCAAGGAGAACAAATTCCAGAGTGCCAATTACCCAGCCAGCCCCAGTAATTGCTGTGACAAATACAGTATTGAGTCCGGTGATGCAGGAATCAAAGCCCAGGGAGATGACACCTGTGTGGCCAGAGAGAGCTGTGCCTTGTAGGGAAAGGCATCGAAGCATGATTGATCCGAGTCAAGTGAGAGAAGCAATGAGACTAACGAGTAATCCACCCAGTCAAGTGAATCAATTAAACAGGGCAATCGATCGGGAAAGAGATGCCCTGCCAATAGTCTACGTTTCGTCGAGTGAAACAAAGGGACTGGAGGTCATGGACGACCAGACGACGAATTTCCAGGGCATCAGGGATAATAATCAGTCGTCATCGGTTGGGGATAAAAACTCTGGAGACAAATCTATTCCAATTAAAAACACATCTCCGCTGTTCAAGAGTCGATTCATTCCAGATATCAATATGACATCGACGTCGCCGTTGATCGGAAAGTCCAAGGATCAGGAGATGAATGACGAGGGATTCGAGGAGACCCAGAGTCTAGTGTCAGAGACCCTCAGCCAGGAGACATCATCTGGGAATTATGAGACAGATGTTCATGATTCGCCCAGTTGTTCTCCAGCGGAGATGCATTACAATAAAGAGCGTCTTCCTGATACCAAGAGAATCGTCGAGAAGGATGAGATGCGACTCAAGGGATTTAGACTGCATTCGGGATCTTTAAGATCTGGGAAAGAAAAAATGAGTTATCTACCGAAGAAGGAGAAGGTGCGTGAGGCTAAGGTGGAATCACCAAAGAAATTTGCCCACTCTTTCAGGAATGACGTTGAGAGGTCTGGGTCTAGGAGCAGTTTGATGAGCTCCAGGAGCTCTTTGAATTCTGCAACGTCTGTTAATACTGTTAGAAAATTACCCAATCATTCGCCGTTGAGGAGTTATACCTCTGCCATTTGTGCCATGACCAATGATCTGCGTAAGGGTGCTAATACACTACCTCCTAGTAGAGAAAATGATAAACGAAGGCCTGCACCCAAGTCTACGGTTACGAGGATACCAGCAAGTCGGAGCAGCAGCAGTGGAAGCAGTGTTGGCCCTGTTGTTAGAAATATCCGGAAAAACAAAGCCGTGAGTTTTTTCCTTCCGACAGGAAGCTTTGTAATCGACCAAATTTAAGTTTCATATTTTTTATCGTATATCAATACACCGAGAAAAAAAATTTCTTTACCCAAGAATATTTACTAACCACAAGAAAATATATTTGGCATTAGTAAGTCTTATGGGAGTATTTACACAGTGATCGCCAGATTTACTTGTGGGAAGAAAATATTCTTGGCAAAAATATTTTTTTTTCCAAGTGTACAGTATAACCCAAGGGATTCGAAATTTTCTATATTTTTTTTTCTATTCATTTTCTTTGATTGCTCATCCGCACCTCTACCTAATTAATCTCCTTTTCTTCAAATGTGAAATTCATTTCAAAATTCAAAAAATTGATTTCTTCCATCCATTTTTCTTATTCTTAATTTTTTGGACAATTCAGTTTTTTCACGATAGTTAAAAAAAATCATCCGCATCAATTAAGGACTGGTTGGATTATCTGGAAAAGATAATTTACTCCAAAATTGGGATTCCTAATTACTCTGGCAATTAATCGTTTTTTTTTCAATAATTGTTAGCTAGCGTTCTAGCGGTTGTCAACGACTAGAACGCTAGCTAACAATTATCGGAAAAAACAATTAATTGGCGGAGTAATTAGGAATCCCAATTTTGGAGTAAATTATCTTTCCGAGATACTCCATCCCGCCCTTAAGGCTCGGGTGGATTATCTAGACAAGATAATTAACTCCGAAATTCGAATTCCTAATTACTTCGGCAATTAATCGTTTTTTTCAATAATTGTTAGCTAGCGTTCTAGCGGTTGTCAACAACTAGGCCGCTAGCTAACAATTATCGGAAAAAACGATTAATTGACGGAGTAATGAGAAGTCCCAATTTCGGAGTAAGTTATCTTTTCCAGACAGTCCATCCGGGCCTTAATTGATGGCTTAAAAAATTGATCCTGATGTTCTCTTGACCGAATTCGAAGATCAAGGTGACAGCAATAATGGTTTTTTCAATTTCTGTAATTTTTTATGTATATTTCGTCTCAAAATTATTATATATCGACGTGTAAATATGTCAAATGCTTATACATATGTGAAATGGTGTAATATTTGTTTAATATCATTATTTTATTATTTTATATTAAAATTTTCTAATTATGTTTGCAGGGAATGAATGATAATGCAGCACTGGTGACACCGAAACCAAAACGAACGATATCAACTCGAAACGATAGCAACAATAGCATTGGTGCTCCTCCGATGCTTCAGAACCGTGTGCCAAGCTCGAGAGCTCTGACTTCGACATTAAGTAGAACAAAAATTACTCAGCCCCGTAATCACAGCTTTATGAGGCCGACTGCAGCCAGTGTGAACAAAGGATCGATACCGAATCTCGCTAAAAGCATAAAAAATCTCAGCAACTAATGAAATTTCAAGTGACAGTATCCATTCGTCAGTTTATTTATAACAAATTTATTTTCCTCCTCGTTAGTTCCTTGCGAAAATGGACTGATGCAATTAAAATTATAGAATAATGTACATCGATTAAAATTCGTGTACAGTAGACTTTCGTTATTATCCTGTGCATGGAAAATTAATATTCTCATAAAATATTTTAAATTCGAGTACGAGGAATATTTATTTATCGGCTTTATTTTTCACGGAATTCTATTCCTTACGACTGTAACGGAATTCTACCGTACAGAGACGAATGCAAATGACAGATCGTTGATCGATAATAATAAATATTAATTGAATATTTAATGGATGTGGAATCTAGTGGAATTCTATTGATTTTAATTGGAGAATTCTTAAGGAATAGGCGATGAGGAAATATCAGATTGAAGATTCTAATTCTTTAGTCCATCCCACATTTTAAATAAAAAATAGAAAAATATTAATAATTAGCGTGAATGATTGGAAAGATGGAAATCTATGGGCTATGTTCTTCCGATATTTAAATAAAAATGCAACGTCGCTGAATTTTCAATGGGAATTGCCATCGAATGGGCAGATGACAAATTCATTACATAACAGTTGATGGTTTTTACAAGGAACTTGACAAAAATGTACATTTAATTTAAAAATTATATCTTCTAATTTTGCCAAACTGTGAGGGGTGTTATAACGAATTATTACATGATACAGTGTTTTGGGTATGTAATAGAATCCTGAGAGATTAAAATCATCTTAATTCTCAACTCTTCACATAATCAGTTACCAAAGTTCGATGAAACTCAAGGAGAAATGCGCACGAATTCACCGGATGTACTTCCAGTCTTCTAGTATTGAATAATTTTTATACATCACGAATGTTCCGTAATTTAGGATTAAAATGGTATTATTTCTGCTCCTGCAGGTGCTACGGACAATTCCAAATTCACGTCAGATGTGCAAACTAACATTTTGTATTGATTTTTATGTCTTATGTATTAGACTTCATTGATGGCATTAGTCTAGTTAATTAATTATGAAAGATGAATGATTTATTGTAGAGTCAACCGTTAATGATCGATTAATAAAATTTTATTCTCACTGATTGTGACGATGGCATTAATTTCAATTAATAAAGAAGTTTAATCATTCGATTTTTGATGTTCAGTCAGTCATTACATAAAAAAAATATTAGCGTCAGTCTTTAATGATTTGAGCAAGAAATAAACAGAATCATAATCGATTAATTAAAAATTTTCACGTTATTTCTGGGCACTCGTAAATAAAACAGTTGAAATTATTTGAATTAATTAAATAATTTCCACTGCTCTCCCCATGATTTTGCACATGGTCATACACATGATTTGGAATCAAAATTGTCTAATCATCATTTATTAATACTGAATTAGAATCAACGTCTCTCGTCTCGCAGATTGATTTTGGGAAGCTGAGGAAAATTGTCAGAAGAATATAAATTAAGGGCCGGATGGAGTATAATTATTTTTTCCAATAATTGTTAGCTAGCGTTCTAGTCGTTGACAACCGCTAAAACCCTAGCCAACAATTATTGAAAAAAAAAAACGATTAATTGCCAGAGTAATTAGGAATCCCAATTTTGGAGTAAATTATCTTTTCCAGATAATCCAACCGGTCCTTAATACAACAGCGAGAATTCCACTCGCCGATAATTTTCCCAATAATTTTCCCAGGTGACGGGAAAATCGAGAAAATGATCTAAAAATAAGCGGATGCATCAATAATGACAGTGTGCACCCGAGCCTTCAAAAAAATAATCTCAATTTATTTAAAAAATCCATATCTATCTATCTACATGATAAGATTCAATGATTAGACAATCCTGACGTATGATTACAATGACCGATAACTATTAAACTGACTACAACACTTGTAAAAAAATATATCAATAAATATGTTCAGTTGAACCTATGAGTGCCGAAATAAAATCTAAATAAAATCATAGATGTGCTACAAATACTTAAAACGAAATGGGACAGAAGACAATAGATATAAATTACTGAAAAATAATAACAAAAATACAGTGGACGAATAATTGATGATTTTTCTTAAATAAACTCTTGACGATCGCGAAATGTGATAGAGACTGGCCCCTTGGGGGCTAGTATAAATTCAAATTGTAGGGATAGCTCATCTTCACAGGTGATTTCAAATTCTCGAATGACTTTGGCAAGGATGAGGTATAGAGCCTGCTCGACAAATCGTTTTCCTGGACATATTCTGCGACCAGCACCAAAAGGGGCTACAAGTATTGGTGAATGGGGTTCACTATGATCCAGCCATCGTTCAGGCATGAATTCACTGGCATTTTTGAAATTACCCTCCTTCAATCCTGCTATCCACGTGTGTAAAAGTACAACAGTTCCAGCGTTCAGGTGATATCCGGAGACTTCAATAGATTCGTCGAGAATACGAGCGATGCAGGGAGTAGTTGGAATCACTCGGAAACCCTCCTGCACACATGCTCTCAGATATTTGGCATTTCGAAGATCCTGGACTTCGATATCACAGTTTTGTGGAGCTAGTGTTGCCACTTCTTCGTGAAGAATCTTCTGGACTCTTGGATTACTTCCGATCAAATGGAACAGGAATACCAGAGTGTTCCCCACCTGTAATGAGTAATTGTAAATAAAATTAAAACTGGACTAATAAAAAAATTGATAAATTTAAACAGAAAATCCATCAGAATGAGGTAATATTGAGGCTCTTACCGTGTGGATTCCAGCAGCAATAAAATCTATAATGGCCGCCTTCTTGTCTTTTATATCCAAATTTTTTTCTCTCAAAATTGATTTGAAAACGGCCTCGACAGCCTCATCCCTCGCATCATTCATCTGCTGACATATCGTCGAATCCAACATCTCAGAGACGATGTTATAAATCTCATCCTCACTCTGAATAAGTTCCTTGTAAGCTGTGGTGGGCACAACCTTCCACAGGGGCAATCCATAAAATGCATCTCTCGATGCTTTAAAGTGGACTCTCACAGCTTCAGCCAATCTCGCTGTTGTGTTATTTGATGTAGATTTTAGAAAACCCAGATGACGTCCTAAAATCAAGGTGCAAGTGCTCTCCAATCCCACCCTGTACGCCAACTCCTCGAAACCCGCGACTTTGTCGTCGGCTCGCGTATTCCGGATGAGATTTATAAATTCGTCTGCGACTTTATTGAGAGCGGGAAAAAATCCGGATACTGTGTTGGCACCCATCAGCTCTGGAGTCAGGGCTGAACGGAGTCTGTGCCAGGTTTCACCTTGTCTGCATTATAAAAAAAATAATAACATGAAAAACATTGAACTCCACGGAAAATTACGAGCGCTAGGCTGACCAACAAATTCGTCATAAACTAAATTGAATTTGTAATAAATGAAATTGAAATAATCTAGAGATTGATAAAAATAAAAGTTCGACTGAAATTTGAATCTCGATATTTTATAATTAAAATAATAAATGAATAGAGAAATAGAACACTTGATTTTTCGCTGGACGAATATCATAAATAAATATCATAAATAAAATTGAACTTTTTTATACAAAATAAAAACAGAATGACAATAAAAATACTCACTCATTAACAAGTCCAAGATTAGTGTAACGATCTCGCCGGGATTTCCGATACCTGGATATGATTTCCTGGGGTGGTCTCAATGGAAATCGCGATCCCCGTTTTATCACTGTCTCGATGTCTTCACGAGAGAAAAGAGAAATCACCGGATAATTCCACAGGGCCTCTTCCTTGCACAGTGGACCGTAGTGTAGATTCATGTCTGCTCTCAAATCAGGGATTAGCTACCGAGTGAACCATCAGAATTAGTCATTTGACTAATCCGATTTCACAGCTCTACCTCAAGCTCAGAGGGAGAATATTCATTCATTTTATTTTTCCGCAATCTCAACTGGTTCTGATAGTCTTTAGAAAATTAATAAACACTCATTGCTTTTATAAATGCAGCAATGAATACAGAATGTTCCGTTCCGCTTAGTGATGAGAATAACTATTTCAAAATTTTTTTTTCTATTCACACGCGTGGAAATTCCTAAGCAAAATTCCAGCGCCATCACTGGAAAATTTATTCTGTAACACGCGAATTTTATTCGTATCTATACGTGAAATTTTCACACAAATCTCCAGATATTTTTATGCGATATTACGAAACTTTTTGTTATCAATTTTTGCTCTCTGGATTTGCGTATTAAAATAGATTTGCGATTAAAACAGAAGAATTAAACTAAAAAATGTTTGAATTTGTTTTCGTTTATCTTGATTGGCTCTTTCAATTTTTTATCTGTTATTGTTGTGAATATTCTTATCTGATATGTGTGTTCTTTACCTTTGTATGCATCATGAACCTTATCCAATCGATAACTCCCGAATAATGAGAATATCCATCTTGTACCGAGAATTGGTAATGAGAGGGGACCGGGCACATCTTGAACGCTCAACACTTTGTTTTTCATTTTATCTTCTTTTTTCGCTGTAAATAAAATCATTAATTTAATTTCATGCTCTTATGTATTTGAAGACCAACATTTATCATTGATATCTATCAAAAGTGATTTTTTTTCCTTTTTCTTAATTTTATCAATTAACATATCAATAACGAAAAACTAAAGATCAACTCAGCAATTTTCCTAGCGCAGTTTTTAAGCGATATCTTCAGACTTAAGGGAAATACTGACATTTTTGTAATAACCTTTTTCGTAGATAAAAATAAGACCTACAAAAAAGGTATCAACAAAAATTTTGGTATTTATCTTAGATTCCGAGATATTTCGCTAAAACCGATGCGTGAGTCCAGTCGACTCGTACTACTCCGCAGATATTAAAATATAACAATAAATTACAATTTGCAGTTAACAATTTTCACATTAAGTTAATGTATAGCCCGGAGGGAAATGGTTTGACCTGGTTACCCCAAAAAAAAACCGGTGAATTAATTATTTCAAAATTAATGACTTTACTGGGAAATTTAAATTATTATCCAATGATTACATCAATTGGCTGAAACATTAGCTGATGGCGCAATGCATTCATTGAAAGAATTTTAAATACCCTCCAAGGTTGCACCGAGATTTCTCCTAATGGTTGTGAGATAATTTATTCCTCCATAATTGTTACTATTGGGTGGTTCAGGGCGGAAAAAAACGATGAAATTCCGTCATAAAACCCAAATCGTGGATGTACGGTCGTTAATATTCGAGGATCATTACCTCGAGGGGTTTTATTAAATCCAATGCATGCACCGTATTTTGGGCTGAGGATAAAAAATGGGTGTGATAAAAAAAATCATTGGCCTCTCCAGCCCCTAAATTACGAAGCTAATTACCTGCCAGATTACGACTGAGCTCGAATTCTATTCAAATAAGAAGATAACAGGTCGATAACCGTTACGTCAAAACCGGATTGTGGGAATTTTTAATGTATTACTTTTTGAAAACGATGAACCCTAAAGACTCGTTCTGCATCGGGGGCCATTGACAGAACTTTCTCCTATCAAATTCATTCTAACATTTTTTTTATTATATGATAATTATCCAAACGGTGAATTAATTAAAGACTGAGAAGAAAAATCGACAAAAATTCATTCAGTTTAGATTTACATTTATATTTATTGATTTCATTCTGCCCAGATGAAATATTCAAATGTTGATATTTAAATAAGTCTTGGGGTGATTAGTTCAATTGTAATTATTGTAATTATTGTAATTATTGTAATTA